ATAATTGGAAAAATATATTGAAATGCTCACATGTGAAAAGCTAATAATAGTAAAGACTTAACAAAATATGACATCATCTTGATGACATGGGTCAACGAGTATGAAGATAAGATTCTAATGAACATAAAGTGGGGATCGGTTTTCTATCATTTTAAAGTAATAAACTGATCCCCCCAAGAATTACTACATATTAATATAATAATTGGAAAAATATATTGAAATGCTCACATGTGAAAAGCTAATAATAGTAAAGACTTAACAAAATATGACATCATCTTGATGACATGGGTCAACGAGTAGGAAGATAAGATTCTAATGGACATAAAGTGGGGGATCGGTTTTCTATTATTTTAAAGTAATAAATTAACCCCCCACCCCACGTATTACTACATATTAAGATAATTGGAAAAATATACTGAAAGGCTCACATTTTCCTGGGCTTGCCATGATATTTTCATTTGCTCTTGGGATTGCTATGATATTATCATATGCTCCTCAGTGTGTCATTGCTTAAGAAGGTTTTGAAACACTTGCTTATGGGAAGAAACACACGATTAATACAGATTTATTTTTTTGTTTTTTTTACATGGATTTTCACTTTAATTTTTACAATCACTACAACTTTACAGTAGATATTAATTAAGAAGGTTTTAATTAAAGAGAGTTATTGTATGATTTATATATATTACAATATATAATGTTAGTAGTGTTTATCACAAAATGGGAGTAGTTATCAATTAATAATGTTTACAATTATTATTTTCCCACCATCATTTGCACATCAATTCAATAAACGTAAATTTTCAATATGAAATGAATATTCTTTACTTAAAATGAAAAACATCAGAAGTGAATGACACTTAATACAATGTTACAGTTATTCCATTGAAGTACAAATTGATTCAAATACATTTTAAGGGAGATAACTCTGAGGAGACAAATTAAACTTTAGAATATCCTTATTTGAGACGAATTCTCTCCCTTTCTTCAATTTGTCCTCATCTTTACTTGTCATATTCACATCGTTTCGGCCGTTGTACGCTACGACCTTCTTCAGGATCTGTATATTTCCGAGATGAGTTATTGTAACCATTTACACTATATTGTTTGGAGTGTTGTACTCATCTTTATTGTCATATTCATGACGTTTCGTCCGTTGTACTTTCTGACCGTCTTCAGGTGATATAAGTTGAAATTTTGAACCGAACCCTGTATTTCGTCCACCAGGGCAGATTGTTCTAGTTCCATGTGCCATGCCTTTTCTAGATATTTTAGTTTCAGTTATCTCCGTTTAGTAACTCCAAGCTTTTGTTCACCTCTGATGTAGCCAGGTATTGAAGTCACAACTCCTTGGGTTAAGTCACTGAACTACTTCAACAAACACTTATATCCCCAAGAACACATGGCCCAGTGGGTAAAAGTGTTGGTTGAAGTATCCCCAGTGGATAAAAGCTGAAACATTGTGAATATGAAAATAAATATGAGGACAATAGCCCGAAAATGTAAATAGTACAAATAGCAATCAGTGAAATATAACAGAATACTAAGATTAGTTTTCTACAGATCCACTTTTAACAGCGCGCTTAATTATCAGGTAATGGAAAATTTAATTTGGTTTATGAATATTTATTTTATTTTTTTTTTTCAAAATTACCAAACTACTTATTTCTCTCTATTGTTACTTTCATGGAAAGTGCTTGGACGAACAATATTCCCAGGTCTAATCTTTATGGCTTGGACACACCATGCCACTTGCATAGTAGCAAACCACCCACATTTCCCACCATATTCCACCAAAGAGGAGAAAGTTCCACTCAAACAGCTTCTTACCATAAACCACTGCTCTGTGAGATGGCGGCCACACCTGTAAACAGAGATGGTGGCCACTTGATACACAAATTAATCCACTTTATATTTATTCAACAAAATGATCTTAAGAGAACCTTGAGACATACCTGGATTTTATTTTATGCAGATATAATCTTAACAACATAAGATATGTGGATGACAATGTGTTGATGACAGACTGAGAATGAAAACTGAAAGAACCTCTAAACAATGTATTAGATTGTCTGGAACGTTCATGCCAATTTTTAGTCAATCATTCAGATTCAAATATGTTAAAATGCATCAATTATGTAATATGCTTACATTTCTGATTCGAGTACACTTCAAACTATCTCTGGAAAAAGAAAGTTTAAAATTACTTTATTTATGTCAATTTTGCATCCCTATGAAAATGGAAGATTATTTTAGACATTTAGTGCTTTTTTTTTTTTTAACCATAAAGTCAAAAATGCCTTGTAAGCAACAACAGATATGTGCTGTGTACAGTGAAGTTGCTTTAGCAGACAGAACTGAACGGAAGTGGTTTGCTAAGTTTAGACTTGTTGATTATTCATAAAGAGCGCACAGGCCCAAACCAAATCAAGAAACTGACTGTGAATAACCCACATAACACAACTTGGGAATTGGCATAAACACTAAATTTTATCAAAATCCACCATCCATGATCACTTAGTGAAGCTTGGGTACTCAAATTGTTACAATGTTTGGGTACCACATGATCTGAGTGAAAAGAATCTTTCGGAGCACATTTCATCTGTGATTTGATGTATAAAAGCAATGAAAATGCACATTTTTTGTACTAAATTGTGACAGGTGATGAAAAATGGATTGTTTACAACAATGTTTAGTGAAAACAACATGAGCCAACTGTATCCACTCCAAAAGCAGGTCTTCATCCTAAGAGTCATGCTGTGCATCTGGTGGGATTGGAAAGAAATCCAGTGCTATGAACTTCTGACAAGTAACCACTCAATTCCTTGTAAAAATTCACTGCTAACAATAAGATGTTTCTAGAGCCCCCAAAAATGGCAATTCCAGAGTCAGATAATTTGTGTGATCACATCACCTCTTACATCTGGCCATGTAACTCCCTAGACTGCAACCCCTTATGTGTGGGGTGCAGTTGAACAAGAGAGCAAAATTAGCTCCATGCAACACCAAAGATGAACTAAAGGCATGGATTATGGCAGCATTCACCAACTTCGCCACCCAGAAGAGTTGCAGGAGATTCCGGAGTTGTCTGGAGGATGTGGTTGAAGCCAATGGCGATTTTATTGAATAAAAAATTACTATTTAGTATTTCAAGATGTTTTTTTATGTAATTTTGGTAACTATATCTGTTAAAATGAGATGTCATTTTGGATTAATCTAAATGACAACTTATTCAATGCCCCCCTTTATATGGGAGTAATTTTATTTCTCTCTGGTTTCAATACCTTACATTGAGTGAAGATTTGTATGTTTAAATATAATTGGAAAGAAACAAAATAAATGAATTCATCTGACAATCCAATAAATGGGGAAATATAGGTTGACTTTACACAAGGGTCAAAAAGGTAGTCATACGTCCAGTTTTATGCTAGAGTAAAAAAGTAGACATTGGTAGCATTTATAATCTAGTCTATTAATAACCAAAGTGATGAAACATAATCAAAAAGAAATGAAAAGAGATTGATTAGAATAAATAACGAAACACATTAAAAAATAGAATAAAATAATATTAAATTTAAAAAGTTTAAAATTTTACCATCCCCTTGCCTTCATGTACATGTGTAGTTACGTTAACATAAATATCACTTTAGTCCGATAAAGTCCTAAAAGATGAAACGAGTCATAAAATTTTTTCCCACTTTGTTATTAATTTTCCTAACATTGGTATTTATTTATCCTATCAGATTCCGATCTATATTTGATCCCGACTCATCAGATTCCGATCTATATTTGATCCCGACTCATCAGATTCCGATCTATATTTGATCCCGACTCATCAGATTCCGATCTATATTTGATCCCGACTCATCAGATTCCGATCTATATTTGATCCCGACTCATCAGATTCCGATCTATATTTGATCCCGACTCATCAGATTCCGATCTATATTTGATCCCGACTCATCAGATTCCGATCTATATTTGATCCCCACTCATCAGATTCCGATCTATATTTGATCCCGACTCATCAGATTCCGATCTATATTTGATCCCGACTCATCAGATTCCGATCTATATTTGATCCCGACTCATCAGATTCCGATCTATATTTGATCCCGACTCATCAGATTCCGATCTATATTTGATCCCGACTCATCAGATTCCGATCTATATTTGATCCCGACTCATCAGATTCCGATCTATATTTGATCCCCCGACTCATCAGATTCCGATCTATATTTGATCCCGACTCATCAGATTCCGATCTATATTTGATCCCGACTCATCAGATTCCGATCTATATTTGATCCCGACTCATCAGATTCCGATCTATATTTGATCCCCCATCAGATTCCGATCTATATTTGATCCCGACTCATCAGATTCCGATCTATATTTGATCCCGACTCATCAGATTCCGATCTATATTTGATCCCGACTCATCAGATTCCGATCTATATTTGATCCCGACTCATCAGATTCCGATCTATATTTGATCCCGACTCATCAGATTCCGATCTATATTTGATCCCGACTCATCAGATTCCGATCTATATTTGATCCCGACTCATCAGATTCCGATCTATATTTGATCCCGACTCATCAGATTCCGATCTATATTTGATCCCGACTCATCAGATTCCGATCTATATTTGATCCCGACTCATCAGATTCCGATCTATAAATTGATATATCATTTTCTATATCCAATGCTGCAAGTATCCATTTAGATGCTCTACATATTTGTGTGCGTGTGTGTGTGTGTGTGTGTGTGTGTGTGTGGAGGGGGGAAATCTTAACTTTATGCAGGGCAATGTAAGCCCGGCCCACAGTACATGACTTGGGGGCAAAGAAAGAAATTTACCACTGGTATCAGTCTTTGGGGTTTAACTCCCAATAAAAAGGTCAGATTTTGAAGGTTCAAATCTGAAAATCAGTGACAACCCAATCTTCCCCAAAAGCCAGACTTGCAAAGTTTTACAAAATTCAATCCAACTTACCCCATCCCTGTATACGACATGGTATCCAACATTCTTTCGAGACATCAAGATATTTGAACTAATGGCATATCGCAGAAACTGTTGTACCTCTGCGTCGGACATGTACAATGCCAAGCTGATTGGACCTTCCCAGTGTCTGCAGATAGTTTCCAGCATCTGGAGTCTGTCCATACTCAACTGGGCCACAAGGGTGACATCGTACTCACTTGGCTGATAATCATAATCTAAGTAATACAAGTGTGTCCGATGGATTATCACTTGCTCACGACGGAAGTCATAGCATTCATCGTCTTCATTGATGGCATTCAGCTGAAATGTTTAAGCAGAAAAAAAAAAAAGTTTTATTTTGGTTAACCAATGAAGAAAGATTTTTTTTTTTTTTTTTATTAAATGGCTACGTCTTTTTGTCTGTTTACCAAATGTTCAAAACAACAAAGGTAGGGAAAAAGCCTCTATCGCAAATCCAATATCGCAAATGCAGAAGGCAAGGGATACATGCAGTATAGTCAAAAATCAGAATCACAATTGCAATGTCAAAAACCCAAGAAGCAAAATAAAAAAAAGAAAAGGGTAAAAAAAAACTTTAAATTACATATCCTAATACAGCAAACTCACTCTCAGTCATGAAAAAAAAAAAAAAAAAAAAATGCTCCCTTGTCAAGAAAAGCACCAGCTTTTATTGTGAAGGCAAATTTTGCATTTGTTTGCAATAGTTGGTGAGGATTTAAAGAAAAAAAAAGGGGAAAAAAAAGGAAAAAAATGCAAATTTGGAGCTTCATGCCTGCAGAAAACAGAATGTCAAAAGGACAGTCTTTCCCTTGACACCACTATTATTATTCACTACCTTCACTCCTCGGCAATGTTTATTGTTAAAAAAAAGAAATGATTAGAATTGTAATAAAACCTAAACATATGAAAGTGCATTTTTACAATTTCTTTGTTCTTGAAAATTGACAACAAAAATAATAAACACTATTTATTAGATTGTTTATTGGAATGGTTGGCAAAATATTGGCTAATTGCCAATTGATTCAAATTTTATAAAATAGTAAATAATAGGAATTTTCTTATAGTTGATTCACATATTCTAATAATTTATAAATGTTTATAAATTTATGAATAAAAATACTGTTTTCGTATTTATTTCATCATAAATTGGTAAGTAATAAATATTGCATTGAATTATTTCTAATTCTATTATTTTTTACAATGTTGCTAATATAAAATTATTCTGGTAAATAAACATAAATATTTTTGTTGTAAATTCTCAAGAATAAAAATAATGTATAAATTCATTTTCATCCTGTTTTTCCTTTTTAAAACGATCGTTGCCAAATAATGAAAGTAGTTAAAAAAAGAAAAAGAGAGTCATAGGAAAAAAACGTTCTTTTGACACTAATTCTTATTGCAGGCACGTTTATCTATCTTTGCCAAAAAATGTTTCATTATGTCTTTAGGTTTTATTTCAATTCTAATCATTGCTTTTTAAAACAAACATTGCTGAAGAGTGAAGGTAGTTAAAATAATAGCAGTGTCAAGGGTAAAACTGTCTTTTTGACATTCCGTTTTCTGTGCAAAGTTAACCGATCCCGATAGAGAGGCAGACCGGAAACCGATCCCGATAGAGAGGCAGACCAGCAGAGATAAATGATGATGAGAGGAGTTTAAAAGTGCAATGTGATGCTTGCCAGGAGGCCAGCTCTTTTTGTTGTTCTTCGGTCACGTCAAGGAAATGGATTGTGTGGCTCCCTTTCTCGGCCATTACACTGGGCAGTTGTGAAACAGACACCAACTCAGCCGCGCCTACTTCAACTTCCTCTTTGACTGTCTGTCAATCCATATGTCCAACACACGCAGTCCGACAAATGACTTCCTTCATTCGTGCTGCTGGCACCCTACTTTTTATGCTATTCCAAGACGGACAAAATTTGCATATGTGCAAATATCCTCTCGTCTTGGAGGAGATATGCATTCTTAAATTGTGTCTTCAATAGCGGACATATTTCTTTTTTGTCATCACTTTGCAGGCAAGACATGTTCACGCTAGTTTTGAATTCCGAGGTAAGTCATGTCTTTCGTTACCGATCCAGATAGGCCGGAAACGATCCAGATAGAAAGGCAGGCCGGAAACGATCCAGATAGAAAGGCAGGCCGGAAACGATCCAGATAGAAAGGCAGGCCGGAAACGATCCAGATAGAAAGGCAGGCCGGAAACGATCCAGATAGAAAGGCAGGCCGGAAACGATCCAGATAGAAAGGCAGGCCGGAAACGATCCAGATAGAAAGGCAGGCCGGAAACGATCCAGATAGAAAGGCAGGCCGGAAACGATCCAGATAGAAAGGCAGGCCGGAAACGATCCAGATAGAAAGGCAGGCCGGAAACGATCCAGATAGAAAGGCAGGCCGGAAACGATCCAGATAGAAAGGCAGGCCGAAACGATCCAGATAGAAAGGCAGGCCGGAAACGATCCAGATAGAAAGGCAGGCCGAAACGATCCAGATAGAAAGGCAGGCCGAAACGATCCAGATAGAAAGGCAGGCCGGAAACGATCCAGATAGAAAGGCAGGCCGGAAACGATCCAGATAGAAAGGCAGGCCGGAAACGATCCAGATAGAAAGGCAGGCCGGAAACGATCCAGATAGATTTAACTTTTAAGATCAATAGAAAAAAAATATCTACCCTGGGAAGTAACAAAATATTATTAGACAATCAGGTCTTTGAAGACATTGAATGTTGAATGATTCTAGTTTAAAGCAGGAAATTTAATTATTAAATTCTGTGAATTTTCTGAAGAAATCTAATCCAAGAAAAATATAAGATTTGGACCATAGAGCAACAAGAGAGAAAAAGCACATGGCAACGTAGATCAAAACAAAACTTACACAGGGTACCAATATATTTCAGATTATGGGAATTTAAAGCAAAAAAACAACAAAGTTAATAAAAATAAAACAAAAAATACTTTAGAAATGGAAATGAAAACTGTATTTTAAAATTGATTTTATTCATCATTGAAATTTGATATTTTCCAAGAGGTCAGGAGATGAAAATCCTAGAGAAATTTAAAATTAAAATGTAACGTGCAATGTTGGAAGACAATAGAAAAGAAAGAGCAAGTTTCGGAAGTAGGTGTGGATAAGATGGGAAAAGGGACTGCGTGGTGAGGAGAAGTAGGCAGTTGGTATAAGGTTAAGAAAGCCAAAAGATATTTCAATAACTGAATAATGATGATATGAATTTATATCAACTAGAAATTTTTTTGCAACACGCTAATACATTTTGAAATCGTCACAGTATTTCTTGTTAAAGTTATCGTTAAGCTTTTTTGTCAAGATTTACAAACTCTACATTTCATTCAATTTCGCAAACCAATCAATAAAATTTGAATAAACTGATTTGTTTGAAAAAAATACTGACATAAACTCTAGTTTGTGGTTTAATAATTTCTTTAATTTTATAAGACTTTATGGCAAAATATATTCTAGAAGACAACCTTCATTCCGTGATTTGATAAGAAAGACTGAATCAGTTCAAAAAATTAATCCAAAAATATCATAAACTTTCAACTTGTGAAAAAGAATGGTATGCTAAACCCTATCAAATGCTTTCAATCTTCTTGTGCTAAAGGCAAGGGCTGTTTGCAATAATTGTGCTAAGGAGAATTTTTCTACTTTTAAAACAAGCATGCCTGTTTAATTAAATGCTTTGCTAAGAATTTTTATATAAGGTGAACTAATGTGGAGCAAGATAATAAAGAATTATTTGAAAAATAAGATGCATATTTTACCAAATAAGCACCATCCCAGAAGAACAACTGATGAAAAAATTTTGGGATAGCAACTCAACTGGCTACACATTTTAGCTCTATATTAAATTAAATAAATTTTCTATCTCTGTCCCATAATAATTGTTCCATTTGCTGGCACATTTCATAAACTAAATGGACCAATCATTATCGGACAAAAGAAACATTTTTCCCCTACCTTTCTATGTTTTTTTTTTTTTTTTTTTATAATGAGAGAAACGAGTCTCAAAGTTAAGCAAATTCTTCTTTAATGGATCAAAGAAAGAGTTTTTAAATGATTCTTATGCTGGATGAGATTCTAATTCATTTGTGTACCCAGCAAAAGGAACAAATGATCCAAACTATTATATAATAATTAACAGATTAAAAAAAGTTTTAGTGGTGGTAGGTGTTAGGTGACTAAAGTAACACCCAAGGAAATGGCAGGGTTAGAAAACATGTTCAATTATGAAGGTTTTTTTTTTTTAAAAACAGAAAAAAAACAAAAAAAAAAAAAAAAAAAAAAAAAAAAAAAAAAAAAAAAAAAAGGGGTACAAGACATGCATACATACTTTCATGGGCTGGCTCACCTGATCTTGCACGGGGGACCCAACATGAGTTGTACCACAGGCAAACAGTTCTTGTCGAAGCAAGTTACCATCATATTTGAGAAATGTCAAATAAAGGCTGCGGAAGAACTCAACATTTTTGTTTTTAACTTTCAGTTTCTTTGGAGAATTCCAATGTATGATCTGGAAAAATTGGATATATTCTATAAGTCATCAAAACATTGAGATTAGAAACAAGACAGACAGACCAGACAAAAACAAGACAGACAGACAGACAGACCAGACAAAAACAAGACAGACAGACAGACAGACAAGACAAAAACAAGACAGACAGACAGACAGACAAGACAAAAACAAGACAGACAGACAGACAGACAAGACAAAAACAAGACAGACAGACAGACAGACAAGACAAAAACAAGACAGACAGACAGACAGACCAGACAAAAACAAGACAGACAGACAGACAGACCAGACAAAAACAAGACAGACAGACAGACAGACCAGACAAAAACAAGACAGACAGACAGACAGACCAGACAAAAACAAGACAGACAGACAGACAGACCAGACAAAAACAAGACAGACAGACAGACAGACAGACCAGACAAAAACAAGACAGACAGACAGACAGACAGACCAGACAAAAACAAGACAGACAGACAGACAGACCAGACAAAAACAAGACAGACAGACAGACAGACCAGACAAAAAAGAAGAGACAGACAGACAGACAGACAAAAAAAAGAAGACAGACAGACAGACAGACCAGACAAAAAACAAGACAGACAGACAGACAGACCAGACAAAAACAAGACAGACAGACAGACAGACCAGACAAAAAACAAGACAGACAGACAGACAGACCAGACAAAAACAAGACAGACAGACAGACAGACCAGACAAAAACAAGACAGACAACAGACAGACCAGACAAAAAACAAGACAGACAGACAGACAGACCAGACAAAAACAAGACAGACAGACAGACAGACCAGACAAAAACAAGACAGACAGACAGACAGACCAGACAAAAACAAGACAGACAGACAGACAGACCAGACAAAAACAAGACAGACAGACAGACAGACCAGACAAAAACAAGACAGACAGACAGACCAGACAAAAACAAGACAGACAGACAGACCAGACAAAAACAAGACAGACAGACAGACCAGACAAAAACAAGACAGACAGACCAGACAAAAACAAGACAGACAGACCAGACAAAAACAAGACAGACAGACCAGACAAAAACAAGACAGACAGACCAGACAAAAACAAGACAGACAGACCAGACAAAAACAACAAATAGGAGCTGAGAGAAGAAAAGTTATATGAAGGACTGAGTTAAGAAATTCAAACAACTTCACAATTGCTACAAGTTATTTTTAAAAAAAAAAAAAAAAAAAAAAAGGAAAAGAATAAAATGAAAGAAATCCCTGTTAAATATTAAGCAGAATTGACAATGTTTAATTTTAGAGATTCTGGCCTAATATATCAGAGTAGGAGAAAAGGAAACCTGAATGTTGAATAGATTGCTTTAGATTTAGTTTTGGTCAATACTGCAGATTGCTACAAGATGATAATATTAAACTGAAAACAGCCTCAGATCAGATCAAAACTTTCATATGAATGCCATGCATCATGCCAATACTCTCAGCTGTATATAATCACTTTCTATCATCTATGTCTGAAGCCTGTGGATCTTGCAGAAGAATATCCTTCTTTGAACTTTATGAACTGGCACTACAGAATCACAAGGAAACATCTGTACCAAATGACTTAAAGTACATCACTTGAGGACTACCAACAGCAGCAACAACTGAAAGGGATAGCATGTGTAACATGAAGAGGCAATAATGACATCATCATGATGTTACTATTTTGCACTACTTTAGATAAAAAAAAGTTAGGAAAGAAACCTCGCCATCAATACTGGAAAGACCAACAAGAGCTACTGGACTTGTAAAATCTATTTTCCTGAAAAATTATTTGAAGAGAAATATTTTATAAATTTCAACCAAATGCAGTGCTTGGTCAGTGAATGGCAAATATTTCTTTATAAGGGAACAACTAATATTACTATATATAATAAAGTTGTATGGATATGAGTTTGTGATCCTGGGATCATCAGACAAACTGGTTTATTTTTTAAATTGGATCTATTTATGTTTGTTTGACCATATTTGGTGGGCGGGTTGGAACCTACTTCCGTGCCTGCATAGGGTAGCACTATTATATGCATAGACACATACATACAGTTGTACACATTTTAGTTCACACCAACACATCCACATACGTAGTTCGGGGGTTAGACGCAGATACATATACATGCATTCAGGCATGCATACATACATACAAGGTTGTAATTCTATTTTGGTGTCGGGACCTTAGCTTTTTATGCATAGTGATGTTTGTTTCAACAAAGAGCGAGTAGGGGTGTTCTTAACGCTTTTCAGATCTACCGCATAGGCCGTCAGAGAAACTTACATTAACTTTCACACACATACACGTGTTGACATACACATACATACTATTATTGGTCTGGGCCTTTTCACCATCACTTTGGTTAAGCTTGTTTCTGTTTATGATCATGATTGTATTTTCAACGCTGACTGCTTGTATTTTGTTGATGGTTGTGATGATGCTGGTAGTGATAATAGCTGTGATATTAATTATTATTGATAATATTAATAATAGATATTAATGTGTTAACAGTAAATTTAGCCTTAATGATCATATCTATACAACTTATTATGTTAGCTCTGTCACTGATATTGAATTCTTTCCAGTAAGTACTATGCATATAAAATTATATATATATATATATATATATATATATATATCTATCTATCTCATCATACTAAAGAAATATCATTTTAGTCCGATGAAGTCATTTGATTCCAGCCCGATGGTCAAGCAGTGTAAAAAAAAAAAAAAAAAAATGCTACTTGCCTGCTACTGTCTGCTCCATCAATAAATACCAAATATTTCTGTATGACGAAACATCTAATATTACCATTACTATATAACTTGGTATAAAAACCCTTGGATAAAAAAAAAAAAAAAAAAAAAAAAAGGAGAGAGAGAGAACAGTAAAAGAACAGGAATTAAGACAGAAGTACTGACATTGCATTTAAATTTCTGAAGATCAAAGTTGGCTGCAAAGCAAGAAGCCAGAAGAGAGTTCCACAAGTAAGAAGTGCAACAGAAGAAATTGCTAGCATTTCAACATTAAAATGATGAGACGATACAGTCAATCTAATACAGCACTTTAATTAATTCAGAGAGGTCTTTGGTACCATAAAGGAAAGTTCAGACCAATTACCATGAAAATATTTATAAAAAAAAAAAAAAAAAAAAAGGCAAAGGGAAGCTACGTTATGGCAGTGGGAAAGCGACTGAAGGTGAGATGCCAGGCCAGGAGAAATAAAATTGCAGATTCACCTTTGCTGATTTTAATCGGCTAACTGCTAACCACACATACATAATACAGGGTACAATTGTTGTTGACATGATGCAAAAATGAAACTAACACTGACATCTCATTCTAATAGATATATTTACCAAAATTACAAAAACATATCTTGAAATACTAAAATTTATTCAATAAAATCATTGGCTTCAACTACAGCCTTAGGAATTTTCCTGCAAATCTTCTGGACGGTCACTTTGTTTAAGTTGGTGAATGCTGCCATAATCCTTGCCTTCAGTTCATGTTTGGTGTTACAAGGAGTTTTTTTTGGTCTCTCGCTCAACTGCTACCCACTCATAATAATCAAGGGGACTGCAGTCTGGGAGTTAGATGGCCAGATGTTAGGGGTGATGTGATCGCAGAATTTGTCTGACAGCCATGACTGGGTTCTCCTGCTTGTGTGGCATGGTGTAGTGTCCTGTTGCCAGACATAGGATCTTCCAGCAGCCACCCTCTTGACCCAGGTAAGCATTAACTCCTCAAGGCACTTAATGTAGGCCTCCGTGTTGAGTTTGAGGCCCTCCGGGAAAGTGAATGGAGGTCGAACGTCATCATCACTAGTGATCACTCCAAACACCTTCATAATTATTCATCCAACTAAGAGGACAGTGTTTTATCCTCAAAGAGGTTACAAACAAAGATAGTACTCAAGTGAAGGAACAGCAACACATGTGTAGATGAAAGAAGAGAGGTTTATTGTAAAAGAGAATACACGACTGAAAGACAGGGAATCAGGTGGCAGGCTAGTAATTACCAAACCCAGCCCCCAGGTATAGCCTGTGCTCACTATATATAGCTACTGATATAGTCAGTCCACATAGGCAATAGGGAGTGTGGGACATTCCATTACAACATTTCTTTTCACTGCTTTTCACACACTTTTCCTCCACAGATGTAATAGCAATATTCAGAGCAAGGATGAATGGTAGACTTATAAATATGTAAGATAGATTGTGTTGAGAAAAATTGTCTAGCACAATATAGTGAACCAACTTTCCAAGCAGCAGACATGCATACATATGTATCCAAATGTAGTAGTCACCTGATTAATAATGTGGGTGAAGGAAGGTATATACAATTCAAATGTAGCAGAATAGCCAGTAAATCACACAAAATGTTTTATTTTGGTTATGGTTATGTTATTGTGACTGCAGTAATCAGAGAATGGACAAAATTAAATCATCGATTCTGGTTTAGGTTGATTTTTCATTTCATCATGTACATCTCCTGTTCTGATGAGCTATCTCCCTTGATGCTCTGACTACATGAATTTAAGTGTGCTACTAGATTGGCATCCCTTTTACTGTTGAAATAGTTAAATGCAACCATTACTTCTTCTCTAGCAGTTTCTTTATTGCACTTCCCAACAGTGAAACTCCATTCCCTTACTTGCTTCCCAATCTACAAAAATTTAAATGCAATGTCAATCATCATCTTTTGTTGACTTGATAACCATTCTTCTTTTATCCTTTCCTCAATCCTCTTTATACACAGTCTTTTCCCTTCACTTTTACTCTGCAACCCCCTGCATGCTAATGGCTCTCCTGCCATGATTAAGGTAAAAAAAAAAAAAGAAGAAAAAAAGATTCACTTGAAAGAAGCATGATATCAGATATTGGCTTCTCATACAAATTCGGTTGAGAAAAATTGTCTACTACAACACACAGAACCAACTGTCCTAATAGCAGGCCTGACAATTCATCGAATATAATCAATCTACTTCATGTTAGTGTTAGAGAAGGCATAATGAGTCAGTCTCCTGGAGGTTAGCATCAGCTATGCTGTTGAAAGGCAAGAAGGATTCTCTCAGACGATTAAAAGAGAGCAGTTTCATTTTGGACTCGTTAAGAGAAAAGACTTTACCTTCAGATCAGCTACTTCACTGTAGCACTGTTCACTACGCGTATTATCACTCAGTTGGACATTCCATTGACAAGGAAGACGGTAAACTAGGTATGGATGTTGCTTCAAGACAGCATTGAAAATATCCTGAAAAATACAAAGATAAAAATGATTCGTACAATTTGAGAAGAAAAAAAAAAAAAATTGAGCTTTATTTTCATCCATAAATTCATTACAATCTATTATCATCACCAGTCTCTTGAATGGGTGTGGTCATAGAGATGTTGCAATGGTGAATAACTCTCTAGTTACCAGCACGAATCTGGGGTCCAGAGGGAGGTATTCATTCATGTAGTGTGTTTTGGGTGAGTAAACCTAGCAGAGACCATCCCTCTCCAGGTCAAACAACAGCCAACGTCCTCCAATTTGAAGGCTCACCTTGGTCCTGGACATATAGCTGTTGATACCATCAGGTGGACCTTCAGCCATGGTCATTGACTTCAATCTAGGCAGCCCTCCACCCAGTAATGCCATGTCATTACTGCACTGGTTACATACATAGCTATGAAGCCCAGTCTACCCCATTGTGCTAGACGGCTGTTGAATCTACAAGAAGGTTGATCTACCCATTAATAGGCCTTGTTTTTAATCCTGCTGTGTGTCTAGCCACCCTCCTGATCAGAAAAGACACGGAGCCAGTTTAGATAATCAGATTAATATTCATCGATGATTAAAGTGATTGATTTGTTTGTCTAATGGAAGATCAACTCCTTAAGAATCATTTAATGTCAAAATTTAATTTTCTTAGGAGCTTTAAAGTAATAAAAATATGATAGGTTATTCTACTTACACAACTGAATACATGGTAAATGATACTCAGCTTTTGTGCATTTACATGTTTGTGTGGACATAATTATTAGAGGTGGTGATATGTATATTTTGTGTTTGTGTTATGTTGGAGTTATATTTTGGAATACAGTTTGATTTAAGAAATTGTATGATATTATACTAATGTCATGTTTTAGTTAGTTGATTTTGTTTAGTGGCATGTCATCCTCTCTAGGAGTTATTTAATGCCAAAATCTAAATATTTGTAGGTAATTTCATGCTCTCAACTACAGATATTTTGTACATAATTGTTTTTTTTTGTTTTTTTAGATATATAGTTTATAGATTATAAAATGTGTTTTTGGCAATTTTACTATAAAAATGTATGTTTATATTTTTGTAGTGTTGCATTATCATTTTCCAATAAAAAATTTTATTGTTGGTCATTTTTCTATAAAATGTAGTGTTTAGGGGTTCTCTATTTGCCCTTAGCTGGGAGCCTAACAGGTGCTACCACCACAGGTCAGGATGGACGTGGGAACAACATCAATTAAGAGGTGGTTGTACACTCCTCAAAACCTCCATAAGAGGTCTTGTTGCTGGATGTAGTTTGTCATCATACCCAGGAAGATTGATTAAAGTGCATTGACAAAGAAAGAGATTATACTGAAAAATAAATGTTTATGTAAAATTCAATGGTTCTCCCTGGCCCTTCATTTAAAATGCCAGAAATAAACAATTTGTAAATAATGGAAAAAAAAAAAAATTCACATTTAAGGGAAAGGAAGACCCTGTGGTTTTGAGAGATTCAAGAATTCAGGATTCTGATTTTATGGATTCAACTGGAATTCGAACTCGGCTCTCCGATTCCTCAATCCAAGCCGCTATCCATTACGCCACTGTGCCTCCTCACAAAAACAAACACCTGCTGTTTTAAAATTGTTATACTTCCTTTATATTGTATGTGTAGATTTCATTTTTTGTATACTAATAAAAGAATGAACGAGTAATACTTTAATGTAATGCATTACATTTTGCATGCATCTTTTTACGTTGAAAAGAAAAAAAAAAAAAAAAAAATTGAAAAAATATAAAACAAAAAACAAATACGTTACCAATTTAACATATTTTAACTTTTATTACTCCTTGTGGAGTTCTGGGGGTGCAATAAGAAACAAAATGGCTAAGGCGACTTTCATTTTGTCAAAAAAGTGACGTACTTCCTTGTGTTTACGTACGAGAAGACACCAGCATTTGTTTCTCTCACCTTTATTTGTCTTGTTGAAAAACAAAGTTATTATTTCGTTATTTATGAATAGACGTAATAATTCACTTTTAGAAAGATTTATTGATGGCTACCAGTAGCTTCCATAAAATTAGTCAGCCATGGATGACAGAAGCTGCTAGTTGTCTTCTAGCAGTAATTGTAGCTTTCCTTCAAGTCACTAGTGTGGTTATCAACTTCAACCGCTTCACCATCAATATCCACTTGAATAAAGCCTTCAAAATCATCATCAGAGTCTGAATCAAAGAAAAACTCCTGAATAAAGGCTTTGTTGGATGTTGATGTGTCCATTTTAGTTTACAAAAGAAAATTGTGAAAAAATTAACGTGGGTTTAATTGATGTTATACCTTGTGTAGAGCCTAGAATAATTCAAAATGGTTTTGGAAAATGGAAGTTTAACCTTGTTCCAAAGCAGTAGTAGGTGATATATATATATATATATTTTTTTTTTTAAGCATTGCACCCTGAGCATGACATGAAGCCACTAGCATGCAGGAGGTTGCAGAAGATTTGGAGCAAGAGCAGATAAGAGTGATAGAAGAAAGGATGAGGAGAGGGATAGTGGATAGATCAAGGTAACTGGAGATGTCGATTGAGATCACATTTGAATTTCCAGTTTAAAATAACAGAAGTATTTATTTATAGCAACTGTCTCAAGGCAATACAATGCACCAAGTGCAGCAAAGGGAGACAATTCTACGGTGACAATTTTCGCCTCCAGTGTGGTAAAGGTTAATTGTTGAATATAGAAAGAAAATGTAAAAAACATTAGTGAGGAGAAAAGACAAGAAAATAGGCTTCAAGTAGACAGAATTGAAATTGCATTTGAATTTTTGAAGACTGTAGTTTACAGGAAAGCGAGAAACCCAAAGAGTTCCACAAATGTGACAGAAGTAAATATTAGAATACAACTTTACAATGATGAGACACATCTACCAATCTAGTACTATGCTTAGATTAATAAAATCAAGGGACTAAAGAGGGATAGCCCATCAAAACAATTGCCACGAAACAAGATTGTAGTTTACAGGAAAGCGAGAAGCCAAAAGAGTTCCACAAGTGTGATAGAAGAAACTATTTTAAAGGACTGGCATTCTCTTTCGCTCACAGTAAGCCCTTGCGTCTTAGTGGCATTATTGTCTGGCTTGGGGTGAATTGATTAAAAAGAAAAAAAAAAAAAAAGTTATTTTAAATTTTACAATTTTTTTTTCTGCAGTAATTTAGATTTATTTTTTTATTTATTTTTTTTTATTTATTTATTTTTTATTTATTTTTTTATTTATTTTTTTATTTATTTATTTTTTTATACAGAAATAGTACTTCAGTCAGCATGTACCGCAAATTTCACTATGCGTTAAGTGAATGTGTACAATAAAAGAAAAGAAAATGTAAAGTAAAATACTGGGAGAGCAAAAGTAAGATATGTTATGGGGGAGGGGAAAATGTCGTCAGGGATGTTGGTTCAGTAGCAGCCATAAGATAATGAAAATCTATTTCCTTACACAAATACTGACCTGATCCGCTAAAGATGTAGACAGCATACTCATGAGTTCCCTTTCCGCAATTAAACGCCACATTTGCATCCATTTAAGGTCATGCAACATTTTGATATCCAACAGAATCACACCAGTATTGAAACCTCGACCCTTGAAAGAGAGAGAGATTAAATTAGAAATATTAAAGAGTTGATTTTGAAAAAGGTTTATATGATACACTGTATCAAAAACAGAATTAATTTAAAAAAAACAAAAAAACAAAAGAAAACAGTAAAATTAAAAAGAAAAAACATTAAAAAATGTAGCAAGGAACAACAAAACACTGGCCAGTTTTGAACAAGAGATGTAGGAAATGACGTTTTTCAAATGCAAGAGGTAAGAAAGACGTCATTTTGTCAAATGGGAGAGGTAAGAAAGACGTCATTTTGTCAACTTTTTTGAACTTGCATCGACCCATACCTGATAAGCGTGTCCGCTTGTGCACCACTTATCATGCGCAGGGTCATTTTAAGGGGAGCATCTGTCACTTCGTCGTCCCAACCAGACGTGATTGATACTGTCCTGCGTTTTACAAATGATGCAGCAACACGAAGCCACCCACACACAAGAACGTGACCCACCAGTTTTCCACACCATGAGAAGACGTTACATCATGTCAGGACCTCAGGAACTGATGGAATGCCATTTTCACGTTCACACTTAAGTGTGTTATCTTCCGCGACATGTAAATCCAGCACACGTGTGCCATCCCGTAACCACCCCGGATTCTTGCAGGTCAAACCAAACGCAGCCAAGTGCTCTTTCACGCGAGCTGCTGAAATCATGCTCTCGTCAACATAAATGTCATCAATATATGATGAGGTTGCCCGTCAAACGGACTCATCTTTTGCCAATGCAGTGTCCACAATGGCCTTCATTATGGCTGGTGCAACATTCAACCTGAAACCCATTCAGGTCAAGCAATATCTTCGCCTCTTGAAAATTACAGTTTGAAAGGGCCAAAGTGACTTTTGGATATGTACTTGTAAATAGGCCTGCCATAGGTCAAGGATAGCGACTTCCAGTCCTTTTTTATGCCACTCCCTCAGTTTCTGTGCGCACACGTCAGCATTGGCTGCGTGTGCGTTGAGACTCTCATTCAGTTCTCGACAGTCTAATACTGGCCACACTTTATTTTTGTTTTTCTGCACCACCGCCATCAATGGAATTAAACCTTTTGGAGGACCGAGTTCCTTTCCAGGATAAGGCTGCAACCAACCGTTATCAAGCCAGGTCTGCAGCTCACGGTCGCATTCCTCCTTGACTCCCGTTGGTATTGGGTACTCTGGAATCCAATTTCTCAAACTCTTCAGTGATCGACCATCAGACCACTTCCATGATGCAATCCATATCTTCTGGTTTGGGTCGAATTCGGCGCAGAAATCCGGTTCTTCTATTTTAATAGCGATGTAACAAACTATCCCACGCTTGGGAAACCGTACATCATCACACTGTGTTATTTGGCGTCCACCAAACTTTTTAATGGCATCGAATCCAAGCAACAAGTCAAAACTCAGTAACTCTCCATCCACTACCAAGACATCGATTTTGAGGGGATTTGCGTTGTCCATGCCAAGCTTAATACTTCTAACTCTGCAACATTTGAGTGTATTTCCATTTACGGTGAGTACGTTCACCTCAGTCACCCGCCAGGATTGACAGGCTGACTTACTCACGAATGTCTGTGAGCAGCCAGTGTCCACCAGTGCCACTCTTAATTCTGTTCACGTAAATACCTAAGATGGGTAACGCTTCATTTATAACTCACTTATGGAAGAGACCGGTGCTGACGTCTTGTCCTTTTCTTTTCCCTGGACACAATGAAGCAATGTGGCCTACTTCTTGACATCGGAAGCAACGTATTGTTGTGCGTGACCCGCGTGGCTGACGGCCATCTTTTCTTCGAACCGGGCAGTCCCTGGCAAGGTGATTCTATCCAGAGCATTGATAACATCGCATACTCTCCCGACGTTTAACATTTCCTCAGTTGCAATTTGATCTTTCATTATGGCCCGAGCTCGGTCCAACAGTTGGTTTTTATTCATGTCTTCCATCCTGGAAGACGCCGCACATAGTTGCTTGACGTGCGCTGGTAACCCTGCTATGAACCCACATGCTAATCCTTGCTCCGATATCCTGCCAAATAGACCAGCTAGCTTCTTCAAGTCGGCTAAAAACACGCCGACGAACTCATCCGATTTTGTTCCAAAACAACTGCTGGTAAACAATTGTTCCAAAAAGCTCAAGAAACAATCCGTTCAAAGGCAATTCTTCAGGGCTCATTTTATCTGCTCGACATCTGATTTTTTGTTCCAAGTTTAACCATCAGACTCTGATAAACAGCAAATGCTCTGCCATAAGCGTCAACCTCAAAGGAAGAACACGTTCAAACTTTTTTTGCCCGAATTCCACATAGGTCACAAACAAGTTCAGCCTTCTTCAATCCATTCAGTAACTGCTTGTCCAGTCACTGAACCATCAAACGCTGGTATCAACTTTTTTACGTCAAATGTCTTGTTCATCATAGTGCCGAAATAAAAATTGTTAAAATTCTGCAAGTGATCTGGGATTGTAAAGGAAATATTTGTTCTGATTATTTCCAAAGCTTATACGAGAATAAATCACTAAGTTCAGACTAAACATCGCAGACAGAAAGAAAATGCCGAAAACTCGATTCACAAGTACTATTTCACAAATCACAATGCACGCAACCAGTCAGAAAAATAACTCCCATCGGCAGCCAAAAATGCTGACTTTTTTTTCCCGCGATTTTAGAACACCAACTTTTTTTATCAGCTTCAACGTTTTTTTTTTGAATTAAGAACCGAGGGCTGGGAGAGGATGTTCAAGTGATTTGCATATCAACATACTTTATAGAAACTCCTGCAACGGACTTGTTTGTTGTTTTTTTTTTTCTAATTCAAATATTCCATTTTCAGCATGTCATGCTGAATACGTGCCATTTTGTTTGGTAAGTAATTTTCTTTTTTTGCCACATTTTATATTTTGATGAAAAAACACTTGTTTCTCGCTGTCGCTTGGTTTGACGAGGCAAGTTTTAGCTGTTTTCTTTAATTTGGAAAATCTTGCATAAAAAATTGAATTGAAAACTGCCATATCAAGGAAAACAAAACCGGAAACTGATACTGAAACATAAACTGCCAAACCAACCAACTCATATATATATATATATATATATATATATATATAAAAATGGCCCATTTCATTTTGACTGCAAGAAAATACAGAAGAAAAAGACAAGACAGGTTGATTTTAGTGAGAAAAAGAAAGCACGAACAATGAGGCAAAGAAAAAGAAAGGCAAACTAGAAGAGATGATAATGATCTCATTATCTCAATTAGTGCAACAAATGTGTACATTAGTAACTATAAAAAGTCAATTTTTAATTACTACAGTTAAACTAGGTACCTCCACGAAATCGCTAAAAAAAGAGCATAGCTTGATGAAAAAGACGCCAACCTTGCCGAAAACTAAATTTTATTGTCTAAATGCTTATGTTATTATTAAGAGGAAAGACCAAAGTTTTTTTTAATTATTTCTAAAAAATTTCCTTCTTTTAGAACATTTTAAATTTTGATTAAAAAAACCTTTTTTTGTATTTGTCTCAAATAAAAAAAAAGGAACTAGTAAATAACATAGACAATTTTTAATAGCACGTTTTTTTGGTATGACACACATTAATTTGAAAAATCGTGCAAAAATAGAAATAATTATCGGATGTTAATGAAACTTTCAGGAACTATTCACAGACGATCGAAATTATTATAAATATGTTTTTTTTTTATGAAAGTCATGGTAGAAATATTTTTTAAAAATATTTATTACCCCCCCATAACTAATTTTATGAAAACGCTAGAAATTCGATCGCATAGGTCTTAGTGATTACAATAATTAAAAGCACAGGGCTTTGAGGAATGCAAATCATGTTTTTTTTTTTTTTAATTGGATACGCAGTACCTGAAAATCAGCTCTGAATTGTAACATACAAAACTCAATAAAACAAAGATATTATTTAATTTCAAATGCTTTTATTTGCTTTTAGTTGTTTTTTATGAATATGGACAATATTTTCTGAAAGCAAAAAAAATTTTTTCGATGAAAATGAATTTTAATACAATTATTTGTTATTTCATTAATTATAATAGATTTTACATTTAAGTTGTTAAAATATTATAAAATTAGTTAAAAAAGTCATATCGGCTTTCATAAGTGTCCTTATGAGATAGATCTTTTTTTAGCGCGTTGTAAATTGTATCATTTTGACTAATCAGAAGATCCCCAGTAATTAAGAAATGTAATTTTGTGCTTATAATCGAGCTGTAATTATAAAATACGGAAGACCAACCAGAATATAATTAAGTTGCGTTATTTGAGTTAAGCATTGTTCTCCGCTGTTAAGGCCTTTACTTTTTGCTTGAAACATGTGTGGAGAAGTTAATTTGATTTTCAATTTCAACTGAGAAGGGTACCTACAAGTATCAGTATCATCTTATGAAATTTATATGATCTTATTTTTATATTAATCTCAGTTACGACATTTTTCAAAAAATGAAATATCAAAATTAATAATAAAATGAATGCAAATACAAATAACAGTAGAATGTAATAAATGTACATAAAATTATAGTATTTTATGTACAATTCTGATAAAATCTCATAAGAAAGGTACCTATAAATTAATTAGATACCTTTCTTAAGAAATATGAAATTTAATGTCACTCTTAACAGTTTTATTTTAATTTCTTTACAATATATTTCCCATAAAGCATCATAAACATAAAGGTGAAAGCTAAGTACAAAAAAAAAAAAATTAGACCGCTGAAAGTTTTTGTTAAAAATAACGGGGTAAATAATTTGTTCACGTAAATGTAAATTATTTCACTTTTCTCCTTCCGTAGAACAAATTAGCCTCATGGAATTAAATAAATATATCATTCATCACATGTCAAGAGACGTGAAAGTTTATGACCTGCTTTGTTTTATTTTCAAATTACATCTTTTTGGCACAAAAGCTAAGTTAAGTTTAGTTCAAAATATTTTAAATAAACATTATAATTTCTGATTTTCTTAAAATAAGTTTTGAAAAAATGATAATTGATATTTAAAAAAATTTCAAAGTCAGATTTCCAGTTTTTTTTTAATGGAAAAAAAAATGGTCAATTTTGCTGACTCAAAAAAAAAAAACATTTTTAACGAAAATTTCGGACGTGCTAGAAACGATTAAAAAATGGAAAAAAAAACCCCCAAAATACTTTGACCTTTCCTCTTAATAATAACAAACATTTAGACGATAAAATTTTGTTTTCGTCAACTTTGGCGTCTTTTTCATCATGCTATGCTCTTTTTTTAGCGATCTCGTGGAGGTACCTAAGTTAAACTGAAGAATGTTTTATTGCACTAATCAAGTATTACGTATGCTTGAATCAAATTTTGGTATATAAAAATTTTAGCACACTAACCAAAAATGCAATTATCAAATGCACATTAATCGAGAGTTGTCTGTATTTGGGTTTGCTGAAAGTTATAGCAATTTAGTAGTGTATGCTTAACAGTGTATAGTTCCTGGCATGGGATACATAGTGGTAGTTCGTCAGTTTTAAATGTTGGGGCAGTTATATAGGTGTGTCCTATACAGAGTCTGCCTAGTACCACCTCCTCTCTACTTATCTTTCTGGAACTTGGCCATATTTTACTAATGATTGGTTGGATGTTGAGTAATTTGTTGTTTTGACAGTTGTTCCATAATTACTACCATTTTTATTTGAACGGTCCTGTTTATGGTGGATCAGAAGTCGGTCTGTAGATCCTTTACACTAGAGATGGCCATGTTCAGCGATTCCAGCGCCATTTTGCCAGCTTTACCATTTCCTTGTATGCCAATATGGCTCAGTATCCAGCATAAAACTATTACAGCGTCTTATTTTCCTGTAAATAGAGTCAACTCTATTTAATAATTCATCTATTAAGGGATTTCCCATGTTTTTAGTTGGGAGTACAGATAGTGAATCTGAGAAAATAAATCTATCTGACCCACTGGATTTTATAATATCTAAAGCAAAATTTATGGCTGAGGCTTCTGCACTGGGAGTTTTCCCTTAAACCATATCTTATTAAAGATGTTTAAAAGATATTTTAAGGATTTGGGGCCGTAGTTGTTTAAGAAATTCATAATAAATTTCATCTGGGCCAGTAGCTGTACGATGTGATTCACTTATGGCATCTATAAGTTCATTTAGGGTAAAATGTTGGATGTAATCTTCTTTGTTGTTCGAGTTAAAGTTCAGCTTATTTTGTTTTCTACATCTTAAGTCTTTTGAATTGTAGTTTTTGCTGTAGGAAATTTGTTTAAAGATTTCTGCAAGTAGACTTGCTGCATCTGTGTTATTTTTGTTATTTTGAGAAAAGTGATTTAGAGAATGTTATGGGATCTTACCCATAATAATAATAATAATAATAATGAACTATTCCATACTTAATAAATACTGCACCTCAGAAGGAGGCAAGGAGTCAGTAGTTCGAGTCGAGTCAGAGGCAGTCCGAAACAGAGTCGCGTTCAGACAATTACTTCAAGACATTGAAATAGTGATACTGGTTGAGACTACATTGTTCTCTCTACTAAACCTGATTGTTCATACTAACACTTCTACTGTATATATTCCTGTTTGTAATATATCTGTGTTATTCCATACCCGTGTTTGAGTTCTTATTGGTCCTACCTTGGACTATCACCGTGGTACAAGGAACCGGACCATAACAGAGAAGATGACAGATTTTTGCCAGTAATTTTCCTTATCATATTCCAGACTATTTTTTTTTTTTTGATTTGGTCCAAGTTCAAATTCTAATCGAATCTATTACATTCACTTACATACTAATACTCTTGGAAAAGGTATGAATCCTCTTCTCCCCCACCTAGCTATGTGTAACTAGCAGGACAGGTGAGGTTCTATAGCCTTGGATGGCAACTGGTCTACCGCAGAAAGAAATGGCAACCTACTGCTGGAAAAAAAAATCTGCCTCATCAGTCATGTATCGAAAGATACATGATCAACTAAGCATGTACTGCGCATGGGGCATAACTGCTATGGAAGTTTTATTTATGTAATCTCTCCATAATTTTCTTTTAGCTTTTTCAATGGTTCTGCATGCTTTTGGTCTATTTAGTTGGAATAGATTTAAATTATGGGTTGTAGGTTGGGTATTAAATTTTCATAATGCTGCTCTATGTCTTGCAAACTTTGTCAAACGATGGACTTTGATATTTATTTGATTCACTGCTTTTTGGTATACATTTTCTTGCAATTGCTATTAATGTTTCAGAGAAATAGTCAACAGATATATTTTTTTTTGTCATCTTTGTTAGTTTTTGACAGCATTGGTTTTTATAGTCATTCCAATTTGCTTTGTTTAGTTTCCATCGCGGGAGATGGTTTTCAATCGATTCTGAACACTTCGGTATAATTGGGTAGTGTCGCATGAATCGTTGTGTACTTGCCAACTGTAACCCATAAAAACAGCAGGGGTCACACACTGATAGGTTAATCGCTGAGTACGTATTTGATGCTGGTTGTAGATATGTATTATACTTACCATTTAGTAAACATAAGTCATTATTATTAACTACATTTTCCAGGTTTTCCTTCCTTTTTATCAAAGTTTTTGTTTTGTTGTTTTACGGCGTTTCAACCTTAATGGGTTATTTAATGCCAACGACTTTTTTTTTTTTCCATGTAATATTTTTGTTTTGTAAAAAATCTATTTCTGGTAATATTTTTTTTACTCAAAAATGTATAGCTGGTAATATTATTTTAAAAAATGTATTGCTGGTAATATTTTTTTTTTTCAAAAACGTATTGCTGGTAATATTTTTTTTCCTTCAAAAATTTATTTCTGGTAATATTTTTTCTTCAAAAATTTATTTCTGGCAATATTTTTTTTTTACAAAGTATTTCTGATATTAAAACCTATTTTTACACTTTCATGAGGCTTTTTACTTCAGTTTCGGGGTTAACTATTTGCCCATAGCTGGGACCCTAACAGGTGCTACCACCCCGGGTCAGGGTGGACCTGCGAACACCAGCAATTTAGTCGTGGTTCCACACGACTCAAAACGTCCTGATCAGAGGCCTTGCTGTTGGACATAGTTTATCATCTTACTCAGGATGGGGATGTAGTTTATCGTCATACCCAGGACAATACAGGTGAAGTTTGCCTTACACAAATAATTAGTTTCTGAGGAATGATGGAAAAGCCATATCGTATATGCAATAAACAAAAAGAAAAAAGGCAACAACACTTGTGTTTATCATCAGTTTCAGTGAATTGGAAAACCTTGTCAGAATTCAGCAGATGATGTTATTTTATTTATGATAATTGAATTTTTGGCGACTGACTTGCTTGTTTTCTGTCATTCTATAATGCATGTCTGAAAAAAAGGGGCTTTTTATTGTGGTTGTCATAATATCTCAAGACCTTTGGCTTGGGCAGATAAACTACATTTCATTTCTCAGTTGTGTATCTGCGGACAGAGTGTAACTCAGTTGCCTGTCTACAGAGCACAACTGAAATTATTATTGTGAGGTGCCTGGTCTCAGGAAATAACTGGCCCTCAGCAGTACCTCCCTCCTTGCATTAAAGTAGCATATCAGTATGCCAGCATGCAGGCTATTTTCGGACTGGGCCCGGGTGCATGTGCCTGGGATGTTCACATTAAACTGACCTTGCATCACATGTTGCCAGCCTGGGGTGGCAGGAAAATAAAACCGCTCATCAGCATTTTGGCTGGGATCAAAGTGCAGTATCTGTTCTTATCAGCTTAATCTGATAATCTATCCACTTCTATCATCTTATTTCTTTTTTTCCTGAAACTAAGTAGTGTCTCCTCTCCTTCCAGGCAATCAAAATGGCATACTATATATATATATATATATATATATATATATATAGGAGGCGGCACGGTGGGGTAATGGATAGTGGCTTGGATTGAGGAATCGGAGAGCTGAGTTCGAATTCCAGTCGAATCCATTACATTCACTTACGTGCTAATACCCTTGGGAAAGGTATGAATCCTCTTCTAGATTTTCCCGGAGGGGTAATGAATAGCGGCTTGGATTGAGGAATCGGAGAGCTGAGTTCGAATCCATTACATTCACTTACGTGCTAATACCCTTGGAAAAGGTGTGAATCCTCTTCTCCCTCCAGCTATGGGTAATTAGTAGGACAGACTGGGTTCTATAGCCTTGGATGGCAACTGGTCTAGGAGAAGGACAACTCTGAATTCAAACCTGCAGAGGGTCGTTTGGGGACCTTGTGGCACATAGTACACCAGGTCTCTGTATTCGGCCCTACAAAAAGTGTGGATGGTCCTGCACGAAACATTCACCACTATAATCAAATCTCATGTGCTAGTGTCAGGCTGTCAGTTTCCTATGAACTGTTCTGCTTGACCCTCATACGTTGAATTCGACGGGAGAGTCGAGTGTGTGTGTGTGTATATATATATATGATGTACTAGCAGGACATAATAGTCGTGCAAACTAATGAAGGGTGGGGCAATCACAATTATAGTAGGACATTAGTTATTGTAAGATTTTGTTAAAACTGTCAACTTCAAATATTATGAGACATTAGAAGAATTTTCATAGGCATTTCATAGTCATGAAATACATAAGTTGCTTATTTAATCATTATGTTAAGAATTATGATTCATCAGAAAATTCAAATAGTAAATGATTAATTTTTCCAGAGTACTGTTAGTCATTAGTAATACCAGAACATTTCAATGATGTGAATATATATTGATCACTCTGGTTAAAATTCAAGAAACGTTAGGGTACGACGAATTAATCTAATAGTTTGAAACTGTAGTACCGTTATTAACAGCAAATTTTAATGAAGCTACATATACAAAGTGATACTTTTAGAGACTGCATTGGTGAAAAAGAAGAAAAAAATGATTTCTATCTAATCTGAAAGCATTTTCATACGATAAAAGAAATAGGTTATCTATTTAGAGAGAAAAATAAAACTCACTTTAGCTTAAAACAGTTGATACTCACCAACGCGGGCCATGGACGGTGATTTTTCCATAATTTGCCCAGGTACCAGTCACTTTGATTATCAACAAGACCAATAGCCTGAAGAAAGAAAGAAACCATTGAACATTTAGACAAACTCATTAAATATTTAAAATTTCCAAGAAAAACATGACTGTGTATATATATATATATATATATATGCATATGTATACATACATATACACACATATATACATACATACATATATACACATGCATACACACACATACATACATACACACACATATACACACATACATACATACACACACATATACACATACATACACACACACACATACACACATACACACACACATATACATACACATATACACACACACATATACATACACATATACACACACACACATACACACACACACACATACACATACACATACATACATACATACACACACACACACACACACACACACACACACACACACACACACACACACACACACACACACACACACATATACATACACACATATACACATATACACACACACATACACATACACACACACATACACATACACACACACACATACATACATACACATATACACATACATACATACATATATACACATACATATACATACATACATACATACATATATATATTAAAAAGAAGAGAGAAACCACAAACGTTTTTGGTTGTAATGTGTATTTTTTTTTTTTTTTTTTTTTTTTAAATATTATGCTTTTTTTTCCCTAATTTTTCTATAGGTATTTCCAGCTTTGTGACCTACATCAGGTAAAGTGTGGAGATTTCCACATATTAAAAATAATTAATTTTTTTCTTATGCTTTTCGATGTTAAATATTCTCGATATGAGACATTACACACTTTTCTCTCGTTGGAACTACTATAACCTCTTCCCTTTATATATATATATATATATATATATATATATATATATATATATATATATATAGTGACAATGAGTTTAACACCTAGGGGTGACAGTCTGTTTCATACTTGACCACCATCTTCAGGCCATGTGTGTTGTCTTTGGGCTTGAATATTTATCTATGCTGCTTAGACCGTATGTGGTAGTATTGTGTCTTTAAAGTGGTTACAAACAGACAAAGGTGGTACTCGAGTGAAAGGAACAGCAACACGTGTGTAGATGAATGAAGAGAGGTTTATTGTAAAAGAGAATACACTACTGAAAGACAGGGAATCAGGTAACAGGCTAGTAATTCCCAAAGCACCCCCCCAGGTTTATCCTGTGCTCATTATATATATCTACTGATATATAGTCAGTCCACATAGGCAATAGGGAGTGTTGGACATTCCATTACAACATCTCCCCCACCCTGAGCTAATTTTCCCATGAAATCATGCTCAGTACCTCTTCTTTTTGGGGTCAAGACACAATTGTTTGGCTTTTTTCCTCTTCCTCGTACTTTTCCATCACACCAACACAAAAGGTAGCAATCTGCAAAGCATGGGGGAATTGTTGACTTATATATAAATATGATTCTGGAGGGAAAAATTGTCTAGCATGACACAGTAAACCAACTTTCCCAGCAGCATACATGCATATATATGCGCCCAAATGTAGTAGCTACCAGCTTAACAATGTGGATGAAGGAAAGTATATATATTTTCAAATGTAGTAGTATGGTTAGCCAGTGAGCCATGCAAAATGTCGTATTTCAGGTCTGGGTATGTTATGATAACTCCAGTTATTGGAGAATGGGCAAAATTAATTCATTGATTCTGGTTTAGGTTGATTTTCCATTCAGCATGTATCCTAGATGTGGAAGCTTTCTGATTAAATAGTTAAAAAATGCCATTGTAGCCTGGTGATTCTGAATATACATCTTTATTTTTGGTTTTTCTTTTTTTAAGGCATGGCTAAATTTTGGCCCCCTTGTTATTATTCATTTCTTTCCATTTATCTTGGTTGTGAAAACTTTCTGATTGGTTGGTCGAAATATACTTTTGTGGCCTGGCGATTCTGGTTATACATCTATTATTTTTTTTTTAGAGATGGTGATATGTTTGTCTCCATTTTGTAGAATAACAATACAATAAACGACACTTACCGGCGTAAGAGTTCCAGCTAGCGTCCAGCTGGCAGACAAAAAAATAAAGCAGGTTGTAACTTAATACAAACCCTGCAAACTAACTGAAATTAAGCTGGTATTTATATAGAAATACTTCCACTCAGGTACCAGCAGCCAATCAAAGCCCAAGCAATGGACTATCCCACTTTAGCATAATGAGATGCTCCATTGCACCATAAATAACTCTCTTCCTCAATTAGAATCATTCTTCACTCAGCTTGCTCCACAACTGAGTGTTTATCTTGACCACGTGATTGTTCGACCAGATTTTTAAATCAGATGCAATTAACATTATAAGTGTTTTCTCAGATATCCGTGTCATGCTGATTCTTGAGTGAATGTAAGATAAATTGAGAAAGAAACTTCAAAAAATTAAGGAAAGAAAAGAAAAAAAAAAATAATTACCTGTTTTCCTTTGAGTATTCGAAAGATTTTCCACAGATCTGCAATGTCAGTTGCAAATGTAATGTCTGTGTCGAGGACAATCACCTGAAAGAAGAAATCAGAAGATAAAAATTCTAATATCCGACAAAGTGACTTGTTTCAGGTAAGGAAGAAGGAAGTACTAAATACAGCCCTCAACTGAAGTCTTAACATTGTTTTCACACTAAAAGTAAAAATACAAATAAACTCATTAGTACCTGCAGATGAAAATGTATCAGAAAACGCAAACCCTGAGTTAACTCTGAATTAGCACGAGATAACTAATCATTGGCAGTTTTTATGATGAAGCAGCATATCAAAAACTTCTAGGGGTTATCTAATGCCCAAATCTAAGTATAATTTGAACAATTCTATGTCTTCAACTACAGAAAATGTATTTATTTACATTATTCTGACTATTGTACTCATCTTAGTTGCCATATTTATTACAACGTTTCAGCCGTTGTACGCTCCAGTCTTCTTCAGGTGGTTGGAATATCAAACTGAACCCTTTATTTTGCTCACTGGGGTAGACTGTTCTCAAGGACACATGGCACAGTGGATAAAGGTGTTGGTTAGATCGACAGGACCCAAAGAGTGTGAGTTCAATACCTGGTTAAGGCAGTGGAGAACTTTCAGAGGGTAATTAACAGGAGATAACCGATAATTGACATCCATTAAACATGGCACGTGGAACAAGAACAGTCTACCCCAGTGAGCGAAATAAAGGGTTCAGTTTGACATTCAAACCACCTGACGAAGGCCGGAGAGTACAACGGCCAAAACATTGTAATAAATATACTTCATCTCAGAAATATAGACAGATAGAAAATGTATTATAAATTTTTATACTTTCATAGTGTTTTGTTTAGGGATTCCCTATTTCCCCATCCCCAGGACCCTAACAAGTGCTACCAACCCAGGTCAGGGTGGACTTGAGAACAGCAGCAATTAAGAGGTGGCTCTGTGCTCATCAAACCCTCCAATCTCCCAATCAGAGGCCTTGTTGCTGGATGTAGTTTACTGTCATACCCAGGACTATACATCTGAAGAAGGCTGGGGTGTGCACTGACAGGCAATGATAATAACAATATTAGTCAGACTGTAAATAATATAAATAATGATGACTCCTTCCTCATCCCAGAAATTCAAACAGAAGTTATCAAATGACAAAGATATCTGACTCAAATCATAATCACGGAAATTGTCTGAGAATTGCATTGAAAAATTTAATCTGAAATATATGCATCATATTAAGAAAATAAAAATTCATGATTGGATTTGCACAAATGAGTGTAATGCAGCAGAAGTGGCACACTGTAGTAAGATTTCTGTTAGAGCAATACTGTTAAAATATTCTCACATGAAGCATTTTCAAGTGTTATTTTTTTTCTGCATTACAAAGGCGGGAAAAGTAATTGAAAGATTATTAACTGCTGTACAATATAATGCCTTTATTTTGTGATAAAGCAAAAAAATATCTCTGATGTGCAGGTGGTGCAATAACAGCTCAGAATTGGATATCAGAGCACCAGAGTTCCAATTCCAGTTAAATCTGTTATATTCACTTATGCACAAATACCCTTCAGGGGGAGGTGGGGAAGCGAGTGTCAAAAGGATGTTTTTTCCCTTGACACCACTATTATTTTAACCACCTTCACTCCTCAGCAATGTTTCTTGCTTTAAAAAGCAATGATTAGAATTGTAATGAATCTTAAACATGTAATAAAAGTGAATTTATGTTTTTTTTTGTTCTTGAGAATTTACAACAAAAATATTAAACACATTAGATTTTTTGTTTACAAGAATAATTTTAGATTTACAGCATTTTAAAAACTAATGTAATGCAATATTTATCATTTACCAATTTATAAAGAAATTAATACAAAAACAATTTTTTTATTCATAAATTTATAAAACTTTACTAAATTATTAAAATATGTGAACCAACTCTAAGGAAATCCTTATTATTTACCATTTTATAAAGTTTAAATTAATTGGCAACCAACGTTTTCACATGAAGTAATTTCAATTTTTTTTTTTTTTTTGCACTATAAAGGTGGGAAAGAAATTGAAATATTAACTGCTGTACAATATAATGCCTTTATTTTGTGATAAAGCAAAAAATATCTTGGATGTGCAGGTGGTGTAATAACAGATCAGAATTGGAAATCAGAACACCAGAGTTCCAATTCCAGTTAGGTTTGTTATATTCACTTATGCACAAATATCCTCGCAGGATTGGGGAATTCAGGCAAGAAAAACCTTCTGGTGCAACACAGAGAACCAACTTTCCTTACCTTTATTTAAAAATAAGAAAAAAAGATTTCTCAACCATTAAACACTTAACTCCTAATGAATAAGTATTAGTAGAAGTACAAATTCAAGACTAACCTTTTCCAGAGGTAGAAGTAATTTTGGAAGTGTCAGTTTCATCAAGCCATAAACACCAGAATAATGCTTATTAGGGATCCAGGCAATTTCAGGCTGAAAAGACAATAATATTATATATTATATATATATATATATATATATATATATATATATATATATATATATATATATATATATATATATTATATATATATATATAAATAAAAAGAAAGAACAGTAAGATATAAAATCCGTGTTCTTATAGATATTTTTATTTTTACAAAATAGTGCTCAATGTAAATTTACAGAGCATTAATATTATAAATTAATTGATTTAAAATATGGTTTTTTTTTTTTTTTTTTGCTACACAGTTCCAACCATGTTAAGTGAACATAGAAGTCTAAGTGTTGAGGTGACAGTGTTTCATGCTACATGCAATCGTCAGGCCACGTGTGCTGTTATTTTTCTCGGCTATTTATACATATATGGGTCAGTGGTGCATTGTGGGTAGTCTATTATGGCGGTTATTTTACCGGAAGTCGTTTATTTAGTTATTTGGGTTAAATTATTTTGCTTGTTTTTATTTAATTTTATTTTTTGTTTCTTATTTTATTTATTTATTTATTTACTTATTTTTTTTTAATCGGTGTTTTTTATTAACGTAGTAAAAATTTGTTTATATCACTTATTTAATTGTTTTGCTTTGGTTTGAGAATTTAATTAAAGCTATTTGTTCTGTTTGGGGGTTGGTTGTTGTAGTTTTATTCTAACTATTATTTTGGCAGAAACAGTTTTTAATTTGTGTTTATTTGAGTTGATTATCTTTATTTGTTTTTTCTAACGGTAACTTTATCGGGACTGGTTAGTTTATTTAACTTGGATGAATTTAGGTCAATTTATTTTACTTCTGTATTTTCTCGTTTCGGTTTTCGATTTTTAAGTAACGTAGTATTTATTTATTTTTATTTATTGTTATATAACAGTTATAGCTATTTTTTTCGCCCGATTTTTTAGTCTAACTAATATTTTGGTCATAATATATATATATATATATATATATATATATATATATATATATATATATATATATGTGTGTGTGTGTGTTAAGAATTTGGGTAAATGATCCTGACAGAGTTATACATTAAATGACAACTGGAAAAAAATTTTCATGAAAGTATAAGGTTTTGAAAAAATATCCGATGATGCATTTCGCCCTTTCATCAGATCGAAGCTGAAAAGTGAATAGTGTGTCTATGTATCATAATGAGATCATATATTTTCCCCAAGCTGGCGTTGCTTGTGACTAAAAGAAAAAGAATGAGTGACTTTTTTTAAAGTGTCGTTTAACATTTTATTTATTTTTAAACTTAGAACCTTAAAAACAAAGAATATAAAATGCTAGACAACTTGCAGATGGTAGTCCGACAAAACTAAAGATATGTTTGTAACAGAGAGAAGTATACACATACAGACACCCACATGAACGCACACATGCAAGTATAACTTTTATTGACTGGAAATGGAAACGGTGTTTATATATCAAAGTACACTTGAGGTCAAGATGTGTGTTTACCGATGAGAAACACGATCTCAGGGCAGGAGGTGATGTTTTAAACCTGGGTCACTAGTAAACAATGGGGATCGGCGAAATACTTGGTTTTGTTTAACAGTATTTGTTTTGATTAAAAGGTTGAATCAATGTTTAGATATCTCAAAGTATAATTTTGGTGAAGCAAGAACTCATGATTGAGAAAAGGTAAATAATTGGAGAATCGGTTTACATGTCAAGGGATAGTTTTTAGCACTCGTGGTAGCTGCGTGCCGGGCCGAGGGTCAATTGTGATCAGCTGATCCTTTTTCTATATTAACTCGAGATTTTGCTAATAAAGCAGAGTCGGGGAAAGAGATTGTAGTCAAGAGAGTCATGAGACTATCGTCACAGTGAGTCAAGAGTTTGCGGGAGAATTTTGGAGGAGAGAGAGAAGACTAACCCCTGTTCTGAGAAGTCTGTATGAGACTGGAGTATTAGTCATAAACCTACCCCAGGCGATTCAATATGCGTTTATCACACACAAACCCTCTCTCTGTTAGGAATTCGCTGGATGCATTTTGTCTTTTTTTATTTCTTTTCTCATTTATGTTAAATGTCTTTATTCTCCCTGTAACCTCTGTTCTGACGTTATCTTCTTATATAAAAGACGTCAATATTGCCCCCATTGTTGTCTGGCTTCTGCAGATATTATTTCTTGTTTTATTTTGCCACATTCTAAAACTTCCTAGCGCCAACTCTCACAGCCGTGTCCACATCCCCAGTCGACCGTGAACGTATGGACAACACCCCGCTTACCAGTCGAAATAATCTACGGGTACTCAGGGAGCATATGACCAGTTACCCCTAAGTTCGGTTCGGACTGAGCGGACACCTCAACCCAAAGAGGAAGACGCCGGAGGTTGAGGGGCTGGGGACGAAGTGGTAGAGTTATGGCAAAAGTGCAGATAATTTTTGACTTACCTTGTAAATGAAAAAAAAATTTAAAAAAAAAAAAAAAAAATATAAATAAAAACGTAAAAATGAAAAATATTGGAAAAAATATGTGTTATGAAGAATAAAAAGATATTTTAATAAATGAAAAAATAAAATGTGCATTTGCATAAAACAAAAAACATAATTATTACTCACTTTTACTTCCTCAGCAGAATAAAACTTGACTTGAACTAAAAATAAAAAAAACAAAAATAAAGTAGGTAAGTTTTGTTTTTATATTTTAAAGAAAAGAGCACACACTGACTTTGATGAAAAAGTCCAAGAAGAAGTGAAACAAATTCAAAATGAAATTGAAACCAGGCCATTTAAGAATAGATGCTTTTCTTGATAACAAATTACCATACAGCAGCACAAAATACAAAGTCATGAGGTATATATTACACAAAGGCACAGGAGGTAAATAAAGAAAACATACTCATGTACATAAAACTTTGATTCATATATCCTCCTCTTCCTTGTACAAACATTATGTTGAATGGTTAGATTTGGTGATCATGTTTTATAGCTTGAATCCAATTAGGTGTGGTAGCCACAACTCCTACTAGGTTGCAGTGTCTCATTTTAGTGAAGCTTACTGTTGACAGTAATTTACCAATTTTGCCAGCACCACCATCTTGTACCAGAGTTTACACACGGGCATCAATATATAGGGGGCGGGGATAGGAGCAAGGAAGATATGGAGAGAGACAAATAGTGAGGAATGTAGAAAGAGGGAGAGAGAAAGAAGGGGTACGGAGAGAGGGAAAGAGAGAGAAAGAGAGAAGGGGTACGGAGAGAGAGAGAGAAAGAGAGAAGGGGTACGGAGAGAGAGAGAGAAAGAGAGAAGGGGGACGGAGAGAGAGAGAGAAAGAGAGAAGGGGGACGGAGAGAGAGAGAGAAAGAGAGAAGGGGGACGGAGAGAGAGAGAGAGAAAGAGAAGGGGGGATGGAAAGAGAGAGAGAAAGAGAAACGGGAAAAAGAGAGAGAGAGAGAGAAGGGGGACGGAAAGAGAGAGAGAGGGAGAGAAAGGGAGAGAGAAAGAGAGAAGGGGACGGAAAGAGAGAGAGAAAGAGAGAAGGGGGACGGAAAGAGAGAGAGAGAAGGGGACGGAAAGACAGAGAGAGAGAGAGAAGGGGACGAAAGACAGAGAGAGAGAAGGGGGACAGAGAGAGAGAGAGAAGGGGGACAGAGAGAGAGAGAGAAGGGGGACAGAGAGAGAGAGAGAAGGGGGGACGGAAAGAGAGAGAAGGGGGGGGACGGAAAGAGAGAGAAGGGGGACGGAAAGAGAGAGAAGGGGACGGAAAGAGAGAGAAGGGGGACGGAAAGAGAGAGAAGGGGGGACGGAAAGACAGAGAAGGGGGACGGAAAGACAGAGAAGGGGGACGGAAAGACAGAGAAGGGGGACGGAAAGACAGAGAGAGAGAAGGGGGATGGAAAGACAGAGAGAGAGAAGGGGGATGGAAAGACAAAGAGAGAGAGAGAGAGGGGGACGGAAAGAGAGAGAGAGAAGGGGGATGGAAAGACAGAGAGAGAGAGAAGGGGGACAAGAATGGAGGGATGCAGAGAGAGGGGGAAGAGAGGGGTTGTAGAAGGATACAGAATTCCATAGGCGAGAGGTGCAAGAAAAGATACTATCAGAGTAGAATAGATGGTTGCAGCTAGCTAGTTAAACAGTATAATGTCGAGACCTAGTTGATAATCTAGTAGCAGACTTCCAATTCATGCGGTCGAGGCACCAAGGAGGAAAGTTCATCAGAACAACTGTCATGAAAATATTTGCAGAAAAGACAGAGGGAAGCCATGTTATGTCAGTGAGAAAGTGACTGAAGTTTAGATGCCAGGTCAGGATAGATTAAATTCCAGATACTTCTTTAGATTTTGTCAAGAATCTATTGGTGGGGGGAAAAATAAGAAAGTGGAAACTTGTAAAAACTCAAAATCTTTTGGTTTAAAAACACGTCAAGAGAGAAGCAAAGAATGACCGACCTTCTGCAACATTCCAGGTTTTGAATAATTTCTGAAGAATGAGGATAGCAACATTGTCGGAGATGAAATGGAAATGTAGTGGGTTTTTTCGATAAAAAAGGATGCTCTTTATTAAAGTGACTACATCTCTTGTAGCATTATGTCCAGCACAAACAATAGCCACATGGATTACCTGCGAGGAGATGAAAAATAAAGAAGAGAACAAAAACTGATTAAAGATTTTTTTTTTTAGGGAAGATACCTAGTAATTGCAAATTAAGGTAAACTTGCAATCACTTTTTGAATTACCTTAAGCAAAATTTGAAAATAACCACTTGTAACATTTTCATTTTGTTTGGTTTGTTTTACAGCATATCAAAACCTCAATGTGTCATTTAATGCCCACATTTTTTTCCTGCTAATATTTTTGTTTGTCAGAAATCCATTTCTGTTAATATTTTTTTCTAAAAAATGTATAGCTGCTAATATTATTTTTTCAAAAACGTATAGCTGGTAATATTATTTTTTTCAAAAACGTATAGCTGGTAATATTATTTTTTTCAAAAACGTATAGCTGGTAATATTATTTTTTCAAAAATATATAGCTGGTAATATTATTTTTTCAAAAACGTATAGCTGGTAGTATTATTTTTTCAAAAATGTATAGCTGGTAATATTATTTTCCCAAAAACGTATAACTGGTAATATTATGTTTTTCAAAAACGTATAGCTAGCAACATTATTTTTTCAAAAACATTATCAGAGGCCTTGTTGTTGGATGCAAATATATAATGAATAAAACAGGAAGTATATTAAGTAGCAAATTTTGTCATTTTGAACAACAAAGGAAGGGGTCAATCCAACAAGTAAAATTCTAGAATACAGAATAGCAAAAAATGATTGGTAGTCACCGATCGAAGAGTTAGCTTTAATGTTGGTTGAAGATCATAAAACCCTTCCCTTAAAACAGTGTCAGAAAAATAGGCTTCTCAAGTTCACTGCTATTGCCGTTTTTAGTATTGACAGGAGTTTCCTTGCTAATCTTCATTTAAGGAAGTGTGTAAAGTCAACATCTTGATTCTGTCATTTTCCTTTTTAGTTCCATTTCGGTTATTGCTGCAGCTGGAAATCATAAAGTGATTCCAAGTTTTGTCATTTGGCAAAGCACTTTGTGATATTCTAATCTAGGGTCTGACGATGGACTGCCTTCTTTCTAAGATCTGCAGAATTTATTCACTTGAGACTATTTCTTTTTAATCATTTCACCCCAAGGAAGGCAATAAAGCCACTAAGCGGAAAAGAGGTTTACAATTGACATTGCATTTAAGATCAAAGTTGACTGGAAAGAGGCCAGAAGAGACGGTTCTACAAATGACAAATGTGAGATAGAAACTGTCAGCATAGAACTTATGGTTACATCTAGACATTTTAACTGTAAAATGTAGAGACCTAACTGCCAATTTAGCACTGAACTTAAATTTGTAAAGTTGAGGTACCATAGAGTATAACTCATTAGCACAATTGCCATGAAAATATTTATAGAAAAGGCTATGCTACATTATGGCAGTGGGAATGTGACTGAAGCAGAGATGCCAGGCAAGGATTGATAAAACTTAGTAACATATTTAGTTGCTTAAACTACCACCGACCTCAACAGCAGGAGCCGCTTAAATCTGCCGCCGACCTCAACGGCAGGTGTTGCTTAAATCTGCCGCCGACCTCAACGGCAGGTGTTGCTTAAATCTGCCGCTGACCTCAACGGCAGAGTTCCTTAAATCTGCCACTGACATTAACAGCAGAGTTACTTAATATATAGCCAAAATAAAATTGTTTAGGAGTTGCATATTAAAAAAAAAAAAAAAAAAAAAAAATTGTATTGTATTTGGATTCCAATCTACCGAACAACTGTTTCCCAAACTCACATCACACTTTGGAACATGAAAAACTATTTTGGTACATTTTATGCATGAACTCAAACAGAATTTTCAGTTAGTATTTTTAACATTTTGAATATTGAAGTTATACAACGTCGATATACTTTTTAAATGCCATGTCCCTTCAGGAAATTAGCAATCATGGTTTATTGCAGATTCCTTTCCTCTTTTTTATCTGTAAATTTCCATGCATTCTTGGGAAAGGTAGGGTTTCATTCTCCATGCTTTTGAAGTTTTCTTTCTTTTAGGATTGTTTGTCACCCAAGGCTAGAGAGCTCAGTCTACCCTGCTATTTAACTAGAGGTGAATAGATGGATTTTCCTTTCCCAAGGCCATTAATACAAAACTGAACTCAACAGAATGTTAAAATGTGAACTCAGCTTGCCAATTCCATGTCAATATCAGTTACACTACCAGCAGATTGATAAAGTGATAATATATAGTGTAAATGCTTACCTGTAATTTTACTACAGAAATGCACTGCCCCTTACCTTACTACAGAAATGCACTGCCCCTTATCTTACTACAGAAATGCTTACCTTACTACAGAAATGCACTGCCCCTTATCTTACTACAGAAATGCACTGCCCCTTATCTTACTACAGAAATGCTTACCTTACTACAGAAATGCACTGCCCCTTATCTTACTACAGAAATGCACTGCCCCTTATTATAGTAATGCATTGAGAAAATTTAAGAGTGATATTTGCATGCTGTTGACTATAATGCCATCTTCCAAGATGCAAAAAGGTATATTGTAGCATCATAGTTTGCAGTAAGGTCAATATTCTAATATGCCAATCTGAGGTCCCAATTACCTAGTGAAACCCTAAAAATACCCCCTCTGGAATGTGTGGGCATTTCAATCTGATCAAGAACCACCAAAGCTATGGAACATTTCCGCTACTTACCTCACATTTTGGGACTTCAGGTTCATTGTTGAGGCAGTGAAGGCGAGTGCCGTTCAGTCGACCTTTGCGAAAGGCAAATTTTGTGTCATTTTCTGCAGCAAAACTCATTTGTAAATTCAGCAGTTGATTCTGGGACAGACTGCAACAATATCAGAAGTCAGAAAAAAACAAAAAAGAAATATTAAATCATAAAAAAAAAAAAAAAAAAAATAAAAAGAAGCAGTTAAACAGCTCTACATGGATTGATTTGTTTTTTTTATGGCTTATCAACCTTTTGCAGCTTATTTAAAGCCAGAAAAAGAATTTTAGAATTTAAGAATTTTTTGGAGATATAATGATGAAATAATACAAATCCAACTAATTAACCGACAGATGGGGGAGTGGGGAGAAGAGGTGGTTCCATGCCTTTCCTAAGGGTATTTGTGCATATGTGAATATAAAGGACTGGACTGTAATCGAAATTCAACACTCCGATTTCTAACTCCAAGCCTTTATCCATTACACCACCTGCACATCCAAGTACACAGCACCTGGTATTCTCAAGTGGTCACCCATTTAGGTACTGACTGGGCATAACATTGCTTAACTTTGATGATTGTACAAGAATCGGTGTTTCAACATAATACAGCCATAAGCCATGTCAACATAACACAAGACTTGATTGGCTAACATACATGAAGGTTAAAGAACTTGAATGATCGTGGATTATAGGTTTTGTTTTTAGTCACTTGTCAGGCATTAGTGCTATCCTAACAAAGGTATTGTGCTAGCAATCATTTTAAAATATAAAAGGTTATTGTTTGTTGGTGAGCCTCAATAAGATGGGGTGCATTAACGCAGTTTATCATATGTTGTCATTAATTTCGTTTGTCTAAGTTGGAGTAGTCTAATTACTGGTAAATTCTATAGTTTTCGTGTGCTGGAAAAATAAATTGGTGCCCCTAGAGAAAAAAAAACAAAACAAAAACTTTTTTTATATTAAGAAAAATAAGTTTTATATCATGTCATAATCTAGGGAAGGTTACCAAATAGAATAATCTTACAAAGGTTGGTAATGAATGATAATACTTAGGACAAGAACAACACATATAAGGTACACCAGCAAAAGTAGTCAACTGCTAAAAGTCAGTCAAGTGAATTCCATAATGAATTTCCAACTAAGATACAGTATTTATTACTGTATTTTATGTGAATAGGGACATACCGTAGATATGCTACAACATATTGTAAAAATTAAAACAGCTTCTGTATTAAAAAAATAAAAAATAAAAAAATAAACTTGGATATTGATGAAAATAAACAACTTGGATATCAAAAAAAAAAAAAAAAATAAACAACTTGGATATCAAAAAAAAAATAAACAACTTGGATATCAAAAAAAAAAATAAACAACTTGGATATCAAAAAAAAAAAAACAACTTGGATATCAAAAAAAATAAACAACTTGGATATCAAAAAAAAAAATAAACAACTTGGATATCAAAAAAAAAATAAACAACTTGATATCAAAAAAAAAATAAACAACTTGGATATCAAAAAAAAAAATAAACAACTTGGATATCAAAAAAAAAAAATAAACAACTTGGATATCAAAAAAAAAAATAAACAACTTGGATATCAAAAAAAAAAATAAACAACTTGGATATCAAAAAAAAAAAATAAACAACTTGGATATCAAAAAAATACTTGGATATTAAAAACAAGTGGTGATCATAATCAGTGGATATAGTTGTTAAAAATATAAAAAGAAAAACTCAACTTATTAGGCATGTGAGAGCACATTCCTAGGGAAATAACTGTCATAGTAAAAAGTTACACACATTAGAATAAACTCTTGGTACATATACAACAAGACATTTATGAGAATAAAGGCAATATTTTACCAAATAATGATTTGAGGAACTTACTGTATTTCAAACTACCATTGTAGAATCATCAATGGAAAGTGAATGTCAACAATACCTTTGACACATTGACAGTTTCTATTCAAACAAAATAGTTGGGGGAAGAATCTTGTTAAAAAGACCAAGAACAGTTACCCCCCCCTCCCCCAGACATTTATTATCTCTATCTATAAAAAGCAGGATGTGTGTGTCTACGTGTAATGAATGTACGGCCGCAATTTTTGACGGATTTGCACCAAAATTTACATGCACATGCTCCAAGTTAGCGAGGAAGGCCAAGACCGACTTTGCATTTCCCAACTCCCATCGATAGTGGAAATAATCGATTTTTTTCATGCTTCTACGGCAGTTTTCATGTAGTTTGCAGCCAGAGTGGGAGCTTATAGCTGGCTGCCACGAATAGGCAGGAAGATTCTATTGGCCAGCGTGAGAGCCAACAGCTGACTGACAAGAATGCTAACTAGCATGCAAAAATATTGATAGCTGCATTCATCACAAGTGGGAAAAATTTAAATCTGCATCGCACTTTATTCCAATTGGCTCATTCTCTTGCTAAAACTCAACGTTGATTCTGATTCCGCAGAACTGGGTTGGTGTGAAAAAGTATTTGTTGTTAACATTCTTTTTTCATTTGGTTTTTCCAGTTATGAGTCCTTTTTTTAAAGCTGATCGTTTTGTGTTCATTTTGTTTAGTTCTTTTTTCGTAACAGATTTAATATTTAGTATAGAGCTTAGAAAAAAATTGCAGTGTGAGATAGGCAAGAAGTAAGGCATGTAGCAACATCAGCACGGCAAAAGGCACTCCTTTAAAGGCAAGGAAGGGCAAAGATATTTTAAGTGATAGCGATTGCTGTACGAGTCGTACGCATTTTGAATCAAGCACGGGCAACGCCGGGCCATGCTGCTAGTTTATAATAAATGGTCAACAGATGTCAGATCAAATGCCAGTTTGAACAATGCCAGAGGGTAGATTTTCTTTAATAAGTCATGAATATGCAGACTGGTAAACAAAATAAAATACTGTTTAAAATAAACGGAGTGTCTACTCAAATACAAGTATCCACTAAAAATAATGTTTAAGTCATATCTCTCAGTGATCATGATGACAAAAGTTAAATTCTTGTCTACCAGCATACCTCAATAAATCCATAGGCCAACAGTTATTAATAGAATTCTGATCTGATATTTTCATTATATAATGTTTGATCTGTAATTAATACCAATCACTCACAAGCAAGGAGATTATGTTGAAAAAAATAAATATTATATATATATATATATATATATATATATATATATATATATATATATATATATGTATATGTATATGTATATATATATATTAATGTTCACTCGATACAAGGCCAAAGAGCCCCTCATGGTAGAGGGTTACTGTGAGGATGTTGTAAGAGTGTAAGAAAGAATAAGAAGTAAAGTTCATGGGGCTATACAGGAAAGATAACGGTTAACCTTCGACTTGAAGAGGTCAAGATTGTAGTGATTAGGAAAAACATCTTCGCTGGGAGTCTGTTCCACAAAGCAACAGTTCTTAGGAAGAAGCTGTCCGAATGAAAATTACTTCTTACTATTGAAGAGAATGGTGATGATTCACACTTGTATGCCATGGCAAGTCCCAATTGTAAATATCAGGGATTATGGGATGAGGGAATGTAAAATCTTTGTGAAAAAAAATTATTGATTCCTTTTTTAATTGTAATTTACACTTTAAGCCTATATACGTTGTTCAAGTATTCAATTCAATATTTTTTTACATTTTCAGTTCATAAATGTCGTACATGTAACTGTTAATTCTAGACTTGTAGTGGTTGGGAAAGCATCCTGGCGGGAGTCTGTTCTACAAAGCAACAGTTCTTGGGAAGAAGCTGTCCAAATGAAACTTACTTCTTACTATTGAAATGAGGATGTTGGTTCCCATTTGTAAATGTCAGAGGTGGTGGGATTAGGGAATGCAGATCATCAGAATATATGCCAGCTTTCTCATGTTAATGTTCACCTAATACATGGCCAAAGAGGCCCTCATGGTAGAGGGTTACTGTGAGGATGTTGTACGAGTGCAAGAAAGGGTAAGAAGCAAAGATAAAGCTATGCAAGAAAAGATAACGGTTATCCCAAGATATGAAGAAGTCAAGATTGTAGTGATTGGGAAAAACATCTCTGCCGGAAGTCTGTTCCACAAAGCAGTAGTTCTTGGGAAGAAGCTGTCCAAATGGAAATTCTTCCTTTCTATTGGAATACAAAGGGAATAGGGATGTGGCATGTTGTAAAAGGTCAGGGGTTGTAGGTCTAAGGAATAGAGTTCATCAGAGCACATGCCATGGAAATAGTCAAGGTGGAAGGAGAAGAAAAAATTCAGGTGTATTCAGATGATCAAAGAATTTTACCTAAGTTGCTTTTGTATCAATTGGTTTTTTTCTTCCATTTCTTGAACTCTTTGAGCCAATTTTGCTTCCAACCTGCTCACACCAATTGCACCATTGTTGCCATAGGCAACATAATCTGCAAAGAGGAAAAAAAATTGCTGTTAAAAAAAAAAAAAAAAAAAAAAAAAAAAACTTTCAAATAAAAAGTTTGTAAGAGCACTTTATATAACTCAAAGATATTCAAATAATTCAAAGATTTTTTTTTTTTTTTTTTTTTTTTGGGGAGCCATGACCTTTCAAGACAAAGACTTAACCTTCAGGAGATGCTTCCTTTAGACATTCTCCTACCTGGAAGGGAAAATCATACCCAGAATCACTGAGCAACCGTTTTTCATTAGAAACCCAAGTGGAGACCAAAGCAGTTCAAATAAATCCAATACAAATTTTAATTAGAGGAACGAGGACAAGTGATGGAGAGAAAATGATTTATTGAAGCTGCTTTGTTTACCAAATGGATTCACCGTGAAAGATGGCTACTCAGCATTTTCAGGTAAGATTGTTCCTTTCCAGGTAAGAGAGCATAAAAAGGGGAGCAACTTGTGAAGATTAACAAGGACGAACACGGCTCTCCACAACTTACTATTCTAGTGAAAGAAGGCTACTTGGCACTTCAGGCTTATCTTGAGTCCTATTTCTTGGAACACTTGGTATAATTTTTAAGCATGAAACGAGGTTCAATATTGAGAATTTGCTAGCATTACCTTCTATATATATATATATATATATATATATATATATATATATATATATATAAAAACTATTCCTCCCTCCCCCATAGAGATTCTTCTTTCATCAAGAACTCAATTATCACTGGCTTCATACCATGTGGTTTTGTGTCGGTCTTTTGAAGAAAGGAATGCATAGGTTTAATGAAAATTTGGAGATTATATTTCAGTCATAAATGACCAATTGAAATCGAGAAATCTGTACAAGTTATCTGGGTTGGGTTGGGGAGAATGAAAGGAAAACAAAGTTAATTGCAAGCAATTCCTTTCTAAATTGAGATCCAAATAATTAATTTTTTGTTGCCAAATAACTTTGGAATGGCCACCCACACAAAGGAAGGCTTCTTAAAGAGAAAAGAAAAAAAAATCCAGGTGGCATTTTTAATTTATGACAATTAAAAATTCCACCCAGTATAGCATAAAGAAAACAAAAAAATGAATAAAGTAAAGCTAAGAACGCAAATCTAGAAAAATTAATATTTACAAAGAGTGTATATTTTTTCTTACACTGACAAAAATGGTACAATTTATATTGAATCAAAGACAACATTTTATAAACTAATGGATCTGATAGTTTACAAGAAACCTCTTTTTCACTCTGAAATAATACAAAAAATATTTTATATACAAAGTTGATGGATTTGGTTGGTTGAGTTCTATGGCATATCAACCACTATAGGTCATTTAATCCCAAGTTATATATATATATATATATATATATATATATATATATATATATATATATATATATATAAACTATTAAATATATAGTACTATTAAACGTATAGCTGGCAACATTATTTTTTTTTCAAAACGTACAGCTGGCAACATTATTTTTTCAAAAATATATTATCAGAGGCCTTGCTGTTGGATGCAGTTTATCGCCATACCCAGGACGCGGATGCAGTTTATGCAGTTTATCGCCATACCCATACCCAGGACGCCATACCCAGGATGCAGTTTATCGCCATACCCAGGACGCGGATGCAGTTTTATCATACCAGGACCCAGGATGCAGTTTATCGCCATACCCAGGACGGCAGATTATCGCCATGCCATACCCAGAGCCTTGGATGCAGTTTATCGCCATACCCAGGACGCGGATGCAGTTTAAGGTCTGGAAAAAACTGGGAGTTCACTATTTGCCCATAGCTGGGACCCTAACAGGTCCTACTGCCCTCGGTCAGAGTGGACCTGGGAACACCAGTAATTAAGAGGTGGTTCCACATTCCTCAAAACCTCCTGATCAGAGGCCTTGTTGTTGGATGCAGTTTAATGTCATAACCAGGACGTTGAGGGATTTGGTAGGCTAATGTTTAACCAGATGCCATAGACTACCAGTACTTGTAGCTAGTCTCATTTCATAATACTGGAATATTAAATGTAAATAGGGGAGGTTTATATGCAAACTTGAGGGATCTGATAGTCTTATGTTTAACCAGATGCCACGAACTACCAGTACATATTACCATTATTATTAAAATTTAATACTCCTCATCTTATAGGACAATAACATAGCGGATTGAAGCATTGGTTTGTGGAGTTGATGATATAGTAATTGTGAGTTCAATCCCTAGGTCTCAATTGGGCAAACAACAATTGAGAAGTACTAAAAATAAGAACTACATAACATATCCCTAAAGATGGGCGGTGTAACCCTGTTGATTCAATAAGGGGTTCAGCTAGGAATTCCTTTTAGGTTACCTGGATTGATATACACCTGATGAAGGCTGGAAGGTGCAGCAACTGAAACATTGTGATAACAACAACAACAATAAAGATGAGGACAAACTACCAAGCCATGATAATAACTTACCATCTGTGCTGACTGCCAGATATAGGAGCAAAAATACTGGAAAGGCACCAACAATAATTAATAGCACTAATAGTTTCTTTTTAACACGGAACATCTTGTAATCATCTGCAAGAAAAAAAAAAAAGAAGGAAAGTCATGAAATGCATATCAGTAACTCGGCAATTGTTTTTAGGATAAATTTTCATACATACAGATATCGTTATCTTTTCAATGTTTTCATAAAGCAAAAAATAGTATACGGTCATGTTTAATCTGTGTTAGTCAGGTAAGGGTTGTAGGAGATATACATGCTTTGAGAATATTGACATATTTGGGAAGGCTATTACAATAATCCAGAGCTTATACTAGGCACAAACCACATAAAATGATAGGAATTCATGGCTCTCCACAACTTCTTGCATGTGTAGTTCTTAATAAATTTTGTCCTTTTGTTATCTTTCCTAAATCTTGCTCTGCCATCCATTTACTCAAGTTTGCAACATGTATTATATGTTGTTTTCCTCTGTCTTTACCTTCACTGTGTCCCGTGAGTATTAAATTTTCCAAGCCATCTTTCCTCATATGCCCTAAAGATTTCAACTGTGTCTTTCTGATGTTAAAATTGCAAGTACACACCATAAATAACTGTTGGAACTGCTCATTAACCATGACATATTTGCAAAGGATATTAGAATAATCCAGAACCTATACTGGTAGCAAACCACCTGCATACAGAAGAAAATCAATTCAGTAAATATACAAAAATAGAAAGGGGTATAAAACAAGGATATGTCCTCTCACCAGACTTATTCAATCTATACAGTGATATGACCGAGAGAATTAGATGTCCTACCAGGATTCATTATTGGCAGCTAAAATCTTAACAAGATTTGCAGATGGCACATTGTTGATAGCAGACACAGAAAGGAAACTAAAAAAAAACTCCTACAGAAGTCAGTGATGGAAAGCAAGAAAAAAGGACTAAACACCAATTGCAAGAAGACGGAATGGTTGTTAACAAAAGAGACGACCCAACAAGCAAATTACAAATTGGAGGTATCTAAATCAAGCAACTACAAAAATTTAAATATTTGGGAAGCATTTTAACAGATGATGGAAAATATGACACTGAAATCTGATGGTGCATTCGTAGATCAAAGGACGGTTTCAAAAAGCTAAGCAAAGTATTAAGAAACAGGAAAATTTGGTTAGAAACAAAGAAAATTATTTTCAGGTCTTTTCTTTCTCTGGAATAAGCATAGTTGGATGAATTATTGTAGCATTAACAATTTTTTTAAATTCTGGAGCCCTCTTCCCATATAATTGATCCAAATATTTGAATTGTCTGACTACTTTAAGTTGCTAACCACAGACGTTTATCTTGATTGAAAGCACTTTCTCATTGTTCATCATGAGCTTTCAGTATTAATTCCCATATCATCTCTGGTGGATGTTTCATCTACATTCTTCAGCAGACCATCTTCATTACCAGCTATTTCTATAGAGGTTGATACCATCTGCAAAATGAAATTTTGTAAGGTTGCTACTAGATTGGCAATTAAGTCCCACTGTTTTAATGTTGAAATAGCTAAAAGCAACTGCCGATCCTACTCCAACAGTTTCTTTTCTCGCACTTCCCACCTGTGAAACTATCTTCCGTTTACTTATGACAGTGTTCCGGGCCATGGCCTGCTTCGGCCACCAGTTATGGTGACGTTCCAAGTCCTTCCCGGTCTGCTCACTTGGTCAGGATCAATCCTGGTATCAGAGAACAAGCCATCAGCCCACTCGTTTGACACGATGGCGTTTGACACAATGGCTGGTCTTTAAGTTGACCTCTTCAACTCTGACCTCTCTTACCCATGTTGTGATTTTGATCTTAAGAGAATCAAGCCGAATTTCCACTGGGATATCTCAACCATGCTAAACCAAAGAGTTTAACACGCGCACACAAAATTGACAAATAAAATGGACGACACCCGAATAAGTCACGATATGATGTTTATATGAAAAAAACAAAAAAAATATTTACAGTTCTTTTTTTTGTTCGTTTTCTTCTTTTCCCAACACATTCTAATAATTGGTGATGGAATGAAAATTTCAGGTAACTTCTTTAAGGATGGCCAGACTTGACAACTGGATTCATCTTCAAGTACTCTTATTTGTACTTTCTAGAATGGCACAAGGTTTATCATCAGAGTTTTTCTTCAGCAACAACTAGATTTATCTTCAAGTACTGTGGTTTGCACTTTCTCAGATGGCACAAGGATTTCGTCAGAGTTTTTCTTCTTCAGCAGATAATTATTATTATTATTATTTTCATTAGGTTAGCAAACAAAATCTCTTACTCTCAGTCACAACCTCACTACGACTACAACTGCTACTGGATCCAACTGCCTTTGACTAACTTTGGCCCAGGGGAACTTTTATTTATGGGTGTCCCTTCTAATTGATGTGGTGCGGTGCGAATAGATGGGTTTAATGCAAATCTCCTAAAATTCAACCAGTCGTTTTCTTTCATTTTCTATTTCACACTTCCAATTTTGGAAAATCCCCTCCTCTGGAGGAGTCATTATATGATGTCAGTCTTCCTGACGTCATCTTCTGCTTTTAATTTTTTCTCAGGGGAAATTTTGGCTGACAATTTTCCCATTGACACTTTTCAGCAGACGACCTTAACCTCTGGTCCCTGACCTGCCAGCTGTTTTTAGCTGAATTGCATTGTGTAACTTTTTCAACAAAATTCATACATCTGTTCCCATATCCTGGGAAAATAAGTCTCTTTCTGACAAAAAAAAAAAAAAAAAAAAAAATTTGCTTTCTTTAACACTTTTTGTCGGTAAACCATGTTAAATATTGTTACATACTTGCTTCCCTGATAACTACAATCTTCAAAAATTTAAATACAATGTCAATAACCATCTTCTTGGACTCCATTCATCTTTTGTCCTTTCCTGAATTCTCCTAATACTCAGTCTTCTCTCACATTTCCACTGTGTATACCCCCACCCCCCCATGTAATAATGGCATTACTGTCTTGCTTGGGGTGTAATGATTAATTTAAAAAAAGGAAAAAAAAAAAAAAAAAAAAAAAAAAATGTGTGTGCCATGACTATTTACAGCATGACTAAAATTATTTCCCTCCAAATTTTGGGGCTTACCTTGCAGAACATAGTTTTTGGGCCTCTTGCCCCACCCACAAGGGTGAAAATAATAATGGTAAAATGGTATGACAATCTGACCATATTTCTCTGTCCCACATGGCCCGGTATGGCCAGAAATAAGTAGTGGAGGTCAACCAAGGATGGGGTTTCCTCCAATACAAGTGAGAAGGCTTTGGATTTGGATTAATACTCAATAAATCATGATATTTCTTTTTGGGATCAAAGTTATAAATGCATCATATTAACACAGCAAATCAGTCATCCAAAAAAAGCAATGCATGGAGTGAGTAAGAAATGATACTGTGATTATAATTTCCAGCTACCAAATTGTACAAGTATAGGACTTTAACAAATTGGAATATATCAGGAGTTTTTTGTTTTTTTTTATTTTCTAGCTCTTTATAATGCAAAACAGAAAAAGAGACTGATTCAAAAATGTCAATGACCTGTTAACCTTTGCAGAGGAATTGGGTCTATATCCTTAAATATGAAGATCTGCCTAGACATTTCTCATTTGAGAATTAACATTAAATAGAATTTATGGAAATTTTCGAGATGGTAATTAATGCAGAAAGACTAATATTAAAACTTTTTATTCATTGTGACCTTTTTCTTGTGGAGGCACAGTGGGAAAATGGATAGCAGCTTGGATTGAGGAATTAGAGAACCAAGTTTGAATTCCAATCAAGCTTGTTGCAGGTGGATATGCATTTCTCAACTTGTTACGGGTGTTAGTATTGTCAGTGTTTGAAATTGGGAATATTGTGTGTCTCGTGAAATACCCACAACAAAACGGCGGACTTGGGATGTGAGTCCACATAAAGAAATGTAAAGAAACGACAAAATCCAATATATATGTACAAATAAATGTTGATGTATTAACAAGAAAGGTTACAAGTAACAAAGACAATGTGTGTACCAAAAGAATATGAAAACTATTTGGATTCAAAGTTCAAAGTATATGAAATGCATAAATGTGCATATGTATGTGTGTTGTGTATGTGTGGGTAGTTCATGCGTTTCCCAAAGGGAAGCATGTTCCCTGCATGAGATTTACATAGTGATAAATAAGCAGATAAGGTAAGAAGAGGCTACGAAAAATTATTGCAGAGTATTTATAGTCCGAAGAGTGTCCCCTGGTAGTAGTTTCAAAATATTAGGAGGAGGTAACCTGACAAGCTTGTTACATTCACTTACATCCTAAATTTCTTGGGAAAGGTATGCATCCATCTTTTCTTCTCCCAGCTATGGGTGAAATAACAGCATAGACTCAGTCCTATGGCCTTGGGTGTCAACCAGTCTAAGGGGACAACTTTCAACTAGCTCCCACACCTGGAGAGGAGGGTAACTGGAACTATAGCAGTAATAAAAACAAAAGTTGTTAAAGAGAGGATGAACTTCTCAAAATTGATGGATATCCACCCCAAATCTGGGTTAAATTGCCTCACCAACATGCAACTGACCAAGTTTGGTGAGTATTGCTAGACACCTGGTAAGATAATCAATCGGGGATAGGTTCCTCCTACAGAAGTGAGAAGGCCCTAGATTTGAACTTTTGTCCTGAGAGAAATGTTTGGCTATATAGTAAGAATCATTGATTTATTTTTTATGGATTATCTACCCTTTGTAGGTTATTTAAGGTAATTTTATTTTGGAGGATAAATTGTTTTTTTTTTTTTTGAGAATAAATATTGCATTAATAAGTTTCTTGAGAATAACAATGATTTTTTTCCAGATAAAAGTTCTATTTAACCCATAGTGGTGGGTGAGGAGATAATGAATCTGACTGGAATTTGAACTCAGCTCACAGATATTATAGTTTACGAGTAATTAAAAAAAATAATGTAATATAAAACATACAGAAAAATGATGTCTCAGCAAGGGTTGAAGCACTTTTTTTTTTGTCGAGCCTATTTTTGCACTAATAACCTTGAGAAAGGAAAGAATCTAT